TACACAGATCTGGCTGGCACAGGACACAAAACCACAGCTCGCCCCTATACACGAAGCCAAGCCAGAGCACAACTAAATGCAGTACAGCCATCTTCTCAGAAAAACTCTTCACAAAGTTCAAGAGGTCAAGACACGAAGGCTTTAGCAACTAATCCACACCTAATGACCCACCTAAGTGGTACTCAGGATATCACTCAAGAAATCACTCAAGATATCCCTCAAGTAATTAAGGAACAAAAGAAGAAAAGGCACACTAGCCTGGGAACTTCCTCTCTGCCCAGAACATTGGAGGCTATACACCACACCCCCTCAACAGTATTTATAGGAACTCAAACACTGAGATCCTGCTCTGTTCCAGTAACAAGAAGCCGAAAGCACCAGCCTGAAGATGACGAGTGAGACCTCGTCGAAACGTCGCCTAGACACCCCAACTTTTACACGGGAAGACACCCGAGGACACCAAAACCTGCATATATATATATATATATACACTTTATATATACTTTATATATAGTCAATATAGGCACAGAGTTAATTTTTTAAACATTTTCTAATGGTGGTGTGCCTCAAGATTTTTTTCATGAAACAAGTGTGCCTTTGCCCAAAAAAGGTTGGGAAACACTGGTTTACAAAGCTATTGTACTACCAACCTTACTATATGTTTGTGAAACATGGACCACTTATAACGCCATCTCCAGCTTCTCGAAAGATTCCATCAATGGTGTTTCCAAAAAATGTTACGCATCACTTGGGAGGACAGGCGAACTAATATCATTGTACAGGAAGAAGCAAAGATCACCAGTGTTGAAGCAATGATTCTTCAACATCAACTTCATTGGACTGGTCATGTTGTGCGGATGCCTGATGATCGTCTTCCAAAGCAACTACTCTATTCCGAACTTCAAAATGGAAAGCGTAATGCTGGTGGTCAACAAAAGAGGTTTAAAGACTGTCTCAAGGCAAAAATAAAAAAATGTAGTATAAACACTGACAACTGGGAAACACTGGCCTGCAAGTGCTCTAGTTGGAGAACAGCCTTTACCAAAGGTGCCATGGGCTTTGAAGACACTCGAGCTCAGGATGCAAGGGAGAAACGTGCTAAGAGGAAGGCATGCCTGGCAAATCCATACCATGATGTCCACAACCGATGTCCCCACTGTGGAAGGACGTGTGGATCCAGAATTGGCCTCCACAGTCACTTATGGACTCATTGTTAAAACCGTGTTTATGGAACACAATCTTACTCGGCTACGAGCGATCGCCAAAGAAGAAGAAGAAAAGAAGATTTGCCAGGCTCAGTTTTATTATCTGTATCATCATGGTATCATTTACTTTGGTAAATTCATATCCCCATCTTGTTTTTTAATGCTCAAAAATTAGTTTTAAGTCTCCTTTTTGAAATTCAAGTGTAAAAAGTACAAATTAAGTATCAACCAAAAACAAAAAACAAAAAAGAGAAAGAGAGAGAGAAGAAAAAGGCGCACAGGGCAATTAATAAATCAGTTTTACATTCATAATGCCAAGTAAACAAATATTAACAATTCTAGATCAGAATTTATGAAGATTAAACATTAACAGCTGACATACTTATTTTAAGATCTAGCACAAGAACCAGCAGTAGAAATGCTTGCTTTGTATGTTGCTAAAAGTTGGAAGTTAATTAAATGGAGCATTGACACTTGCTGTGTCATTTTCCCCGCCTTTGCATGCCGTATGTAATAAGGCAACTGTTAACACTCCAGTAAAATTACATGCTACAGATGAAGACCTACATAAAGAAGACACTGAACTGGATCCTCAAAGATATCTTGACACTTTGCAGTGCCCTCGAAATCTTAAAAACACACACAACCTAATTTCATCTTAAGGTCACAGTTATTGTTTTACTTAAATGCCTCTTCAGGATTAGTTTCTTTTTTAGCTTTCTAATGACAAAATAGTTTGAAGTCTGCAGTAATGAAAGAAACTTAGCCTTATCTAAGATGCTGTTTTGAGTTTCCATGGCAGTAAGAATACACATGACACACCTCTGTTTCGACAGAAAAATATTATGAATCTCTCGGGTGTCTGCTAGGAATACAGGAGGTTACGGGTTTGAATCATGCCTTTTCCTTCACCTTTTTTCAAGAAAAGTTATGCTATCCTAGGTAAGTGAAAAAAAATAATACTGCTCTTTCCTGGTAAATAAGCAAGCATTACGATAAAAAGGGACTATGGCCAGGACCCAAATGCTTATTTTAGGTATGATCAAAGGCCACTATGCACCCAGGAATATTTTTCTTCTCCATCTTTGAACCACAGTCCTCTCATATGTCAGATTTTGAAACTCAGTTTTAAAAGTAGGCATTCCCAGTTACCTCAAGGAACAATTATCTCTTCAAAGAACACTTGTCTAAAGCCTCCTTAGCTGTGCTATCATTTGGATCCTGGTCTAAGGATAACCATGATCTCTAGGTTCGGGTATTTTGCCATTCTGCTTCATGTAATGTGTAATAGAAATTGGTCTAATGGTGTTCCCATCACTCCCAGCCAGCATGGCCAGTGGTAAAGGGGTGCTGGGAATTATTGTTAGGTAATGCCACCACAAACTCCCCACCCTGATTTACATGGAAATGAATGCTTTCACAAGTGAGGTGATGCCAGGAATGGTATTTACAGGGCAACCTTAGACAGGTCTACTTAGAAGTAAGCCCCACGGAGTTCATGAAGGTTTGCTTCTCCGTGTGCATGTGTGTAGAATTGTAACCTCAGTCTGGAATATGCTGCTTTGGGAAGTTAATATGACAAAAAGTGGAAGAAAGCCATCTTGAAACATCCCTCTAAAATTCTGGCCAGTGTAGCCTTTGAAGCAAGACGAGGACACATGGTGGCCCTCTAATGGCTAGTTTACTGTCGTGTGAACTTTTGTAGCCAAGAGCCGAATTCACCAGGCAATACATTTAAAAAGCCGTTAAAATCCATTATCATTCTTTTTTGTTGTTGCTTATAACCTTGTGCGCAGAGTTTCTGTAGCTGAAATGGGATGATGGAGTACCAGGGCCAGGATTCCAGCTTTTTGGATTAGTGTCGTCATACACGTGAGATTTGAGCACAAGGTTGGCTTCAAGCTTGTAGCCCTTTTTAGAATCATTTGATTGACTGTGAAGCAGATATTTCCAATTGTTAATACGGTAACGACAGACCACATGGTTTCCAGGCCCAGTTCAAGGTGTGCATATTAGTGTGCAAAGCCCTAAATGTCTCTTTCCCCAAATACCTAGAGACTCCCTTGGGTGCTAAGACTGGCAGAGGCAGCCATCTTGGTATTTCTTCCACCTTCAGATGCTCAGGGGCAGCTGTGACCTAAATTGCAAAACTCCTTGTGTCTGGCACCTTCTTTATACAGCTTCTAGCAAATGCTAGATGTACCTCTTTGCCCTGGCTTTTGAGATGTTTATTTTAAGGACTCACCTTATTTCTGCAATGGTTAAATTGTTTGAAACAGTTTTTAATACTGTGTTGTAATGTTGCAACCTGCCCTGGGAGCTTAGGACGAAACACAAGTAATAAATTAAATAAGAATAAGAATAATATAGGCACGTAGATCATAAAGTAACTGTTATACTTAAGATACCTTCATCCCTGCTACTGTAATAACTACAACATAGCAGCTGAAGCCCTGGATGTATTGAAATCAAGAGTTTTGCCACTGGGTTCAAGGAAGTCATGATTCACAGAATCGCAGAGTTGGAAGGGACCATGGGGGTCATCTAGTCCAACCCCCTGCAACGCAGGAAGCTTTTGCCCAATGTGGGGCTCGAAATCATGATTTCAAGCTATCGAGACAACAAGAAAATATACAACATTCATGAGCTGGCAGGAATTTGCAAAATTGATACAGAAAGCATTTTACCTGCATAGCGTCTTTTGGGGTGAAGGAGAAAAGTAATAAAACATGTATGAAATAATCGTCTGGTCTGGAAAAAACCAATAATCCAGTACTGGAACTGTCCATTCCTTTTAAGGAAGTCTTTCACTTACTAAAATTCCAAGTCACAGTGAAAGGCCAGCAAGAAATGTACTGTACTCAAAAATAATTTATATGGCCCATGCAATGGATAGCTCAAATAGCTTTCTGATGGCTGTATTCTCATGTTTTTGACAAGAACCTACACATTCTTGCCCATTAGGGTATCTCTCTGGTGGCTTGGGCACACTAGGAAAGACTTGAGCCGATCGGAAGCAAGCCACTTTGGCCAGTAGGGACTGAGCAATGAGAGGCAGCAGTCAGAGGCAATTTGAACATGTTTCTAGTGGGGAAATTATTATTGCCTCAGTTGCAGCCTCACCTGAGCTTAACCTCACAAAAGTCCATAAGAGTACCAATGCCATTATTTAAGGTACGGCTTAAATCAGATTTTAAACTAACTCCAGGAAATATTTTCATGGTTTATCTGTTGGAAGAAATCCAGCTATGGTGGAATATAGAATCTCAGGTAAGTGAAAAATTATCTACCCATTCTGACAGAACAAGGGCAGTGAGTTTCACAGTGAGTGTTAATTGTACTACTTTGGAATTAAATGGCTTGAGGCCTATTTGCCCTCTTGAAGCTTTTGTATTACCAGTTATTGGGAGGTAACCGTGACTAAGGGGTGTTGGTGAAAATATATAAAATGACGGAGATAAAAATGACTACAGACAAGTTATAATCACTTATAATCCTGTGACAGAGGAAGTCCTTTCAAATGTAGATGTTTAGTTCTGCAGAGACAAGTCTTTGAACCCATTAAACATTGAACTGATGAAAATTATAAAAATAAATAATTCTTCTCTGGAGGAAAATAAAGGCGGGAGAGGTATTTCATCAGGCGTTTTAACTAACAGGAATTCTGTTTGTCAGGATTCCCGTAACTTCCTTTCATATAGACGCATGAGCCATCTTCACAATAATTACAGGATTATAGGAATATATATTAGCTGAAAGAATATACTCCTAGTATTGATAGACAGGAGACAATCATGTGGTCCACCTGGGTCCATACTGCCATTTATTTCTGAAACCCATCCATGAATAATCTTTGGGTAAGTGTGATGCAGATTTAGGTTTTGATGGATGGGATACTGCAAGAGCGCCTCATAACCAATCTCACTTCGATATCAGGCAAGCCTTTCTGTTTAGTCTGTAAGCAACCTTCATCTGTGGCTGCCAAGTGGAGATCAAACCGCAAAGAAACTGATTTTTTCCTTAAGCGAGGGTTGTCTTTAAAGAAAGAGCCTTCCCATTCTTTAATCACTTCATCTACTTTCTCCGTCCTGAAACAATAAATTAAACATTATACTGATGAATGAGTGTGGAACAGACCTTCAAGCTAGGATTTCACAAAGTGATGGGAAATGGCTTGACCCGACCACACACAGAGTTTTTGTTTAGTCAGCTGAAATACAGGGGCTGGTTTCAAAATCTGTATCCCTCAGGAAACATGATGGCAAGTTGCAACCTTTCTGCAGTTTTTTACTTGTAAAATAAAAGGGGCCCAATTTGCTACACATGAACTTATGCCAAGCTGAAGTGCAGCCCTAGAAAAATGATCAACGAGGATTTCATACTATGGAAAGAAAGATACCATGGAAATCTGCTCTCAGAACCTTCTTCAGGACAGAAGGCGGAGAGAAATTCTGTTGAACTAAGCAACACCGATTTAAGGATCTGCATTGATACAGGGTTAAGAAGTTCTGATTCTCTTCACACCACACCCCCCCCTCTCCTGAGGAGAAGTCACCTTGTGACGTATCCCTCTCTGGCGAAAGAATTTCTGCAGAGCAGACCCAGTAAACTCTGCACATCGATCACTCTGGAATCCCTGCACTTTGGTGGAGAACCTTAGTTCCACCTCTGCAACCCAATCTTTGATCAGTTGCGTTGCCTCTTCCTTAGTTCTCAGTGTGAATACCCATGAATTCTGGGTAAAATCATCCGAAAGTGTCAGCACATCACTGAGTTTTTAGCTTCACTTTAGTACCAATGGTTGCTTTTGTTTTGTTTTGAAGCTATATGCTTCTGTGGATGCCTTTTAACATTTGGGCTCCAGTCCTATATACAGGACACATCAACACTAAAAATTTAAAGCACATTTAAAACATATGGTTCCCCCCAAAGAATACTGGGAACTGTAGCCCTGTAAGAAGGTAAACTACAGTTCCCGGGATTTTGGCGGGGTGTGCGTGTGATGGGCTTTAAATGTGTTCTGAATGTATAGTATGGTATGGTATGGATGTAGACCGCTATTGAACACAGTGAGACATCTGAATAAATAGTCCATCACTCATTGGCCTAGTTTGCATTTCTTGGTAAACATCAGGTTAGTTAATGGTTTACTATGAATCTGCGATTTTCACTTGCCTTGTTCGTTTCCAATAGCTATGGGAGAAACAAACCACTATAACTGGGATTGGTTGTCATTCAGACTGTGTACTGTGGTTTGCTTCCCTCAAACAAACCACAACCAATAATCCCAAAACAACCCACAGTGGACCTTAAGCCATCCACACTGGGTACCCCTATGTTGTCTGAAAACAAGATGATACAGGGTGCTTGATCAGAAGCATCCCTACTATGAAGCAAGGTGAGGTAGCTACTTTAACTGGCAAATGTTCCGCATTGCCAATGCCTTGCGCATTTCCCACTCACTGCGTTAAACTTCTGCAGGATATTTTTCTGGCGGATTTTGTCTCTTGTGGATGGAGGTGGTAGTATTAGTTGCCCCCCCCAAAGGTCCTAAGCTCAACCCGCCTCAGAGAACATTTCCTTATTACTTGTAAGCGCTCTGCGCTGTTCAGTTTCACTTACTGTATCGTTCCACAAGCCTCTGCGCTCTCTTTTGCAACGTTTCCATTTAAGACTGCTTGCTTTGTCAGTATTTCCACTTTTTCAATCTCGTGCGCCTTTAGCTCACTTGCTGTATAAATGAAAACAGAAAAGAAAATGCAATTTTCACTGTTATGCAGGAACAGGAATCAGTAACCATATATGACTTTCCCCCCGGTCCAATTAGAAAATGAGAAACTGTAATTAGTTGATCATAAGGGGATGTTCGGTGTTCGGAGAAGAGGAGGTTATGTGTTTGTAAGGAATTCCTTGTGTAGTCCAAGGAGCCAAATGAGGGATTAGAAGAGTCATATTGAATGGGACAGCCTGAACATAGTTGTAACCAACCAACCAACCAACCAACCAACCAACCAACCACAGTGTGAATTGCTATACAGTTGTACCTTGGAAGTTGAATGGAATCCGTTCCAGAGGTCTCTTTGACTTCCAAAACATTCTGAAACCAAAGTGCGGCTTCTGATTGGCTGCAGGAAGCTCCTGCAGCCAATCGGAAGCTGGGGAAGCCCCGTCGGAGGTTTGGCTTCCAAAAATAGTTTGCAAACCAGAACAGTCACTTCCGAGTTGACGGCGTCTGGGAGCCAAAACGTTCGAGAACTAAGCTGTTCGAAAACCAAGGTACGACTGTATAGCGTGTTAGTTATGCCCTGCATAGCTCACACAAAACGGCTTACGTATCCTGGAAATGCAACACAATTCAAAGCAACACCAGGCAATCTAAATAACAGTACAAAGCTACATATTTTTAAATGGCCCATGAAATAGAGCCCCAAATTAGGGGTTGGGGGTTGGGGAGTGGCCTGAAATAAACAGGTTTTTAAAGGTCAGCACCATCACTTTGAGATGAGCCTGGGAACCCACCGATAACCAAAGCAAATGGTTCAGAATAGGTGCCACACATTGTGATCACCTAGCCCAACCTATTCTGCCCATTTGAAGTTTCCAAAATTACAGAGTTGCCTCTTATTTTCCAGTGGGTTATTTTCTTAAACTCCTGTAAGTTCTGATTCACATTCAGCTTTGCCTAAATGGTGTGCTGTCTTTTTATGTTAATTCCAGGTCTTAAGAAAACTCACATGAAGGTAAGATAAACGCTATTTGGCTAGTGGTGCGCTTTTTGTCACCTTTTCTGTCTTGGCACGCAGAGCGATAAAACCTTGAAAGAAAAAGAGGAAGAAACTGTAAGAATGTAGAATAGGCCTGCTTATGGTTAGAGCCTTCTAAATCGGGGGCTGCCAGACTTCAGGCTTGCTGGATATTTTTTGTTTTGTTGGTGGATATCAGGTTTCGATATCCACCAACCCACCAACTATAATAATAGTTGGGGGGTTGTTGTGCTGACGTACACTTGGAATAAAGGGGCAGAGCACAAATTAAATCCAGGAATCTGCTTTCAGTAACAGAACTGAGCTCAAAAGTCCTTTCATACAAGAGCTTCCTGGTTTCCCCGCAAACATACATTGGATAAACCTGATTTAGGTTTTTTTAACTGATGCTGCTTTTCGACAATTCAGAATCGGGAACACTTATCGATTGACTGTGAATTGCCTGAAGAAATAGCAGCAGATTTTGATCTACCTATTGCCCACCCCTGTTCTAGAGAAACAGATACCATGAACATTTGCAGCGGGTGAGCTCTGTGGGTTGAGCAGTCCCGACTGAACTTGTTTGGTCTGCAGCACGACACTTTAGACCTTCTGCCTGTCCAGTATACAAGCATGTGGCAATCTCTATCAGGGTAGAGTTAGCTCAGGGCTGTTTCATATGCTGTTTCTTTCCTCTATGGAGACAACGGTCTGGACTGGATGCAACATACTGTATACAGTGGTGCCCCGCAAGACGAATGCCTCGCAAGACGAAAAACCCACTAGACGAAAGAGTTTTCCGTTTTTCGATGCACTTCGCAAGACAATTTTCCCTATGGGCTTGCTTCGCAAGACGGAAACATCTTGCGAGTCTTGCGATTTTTTTCGCTTCCCCCCCTTTTTCTAAGCCGCAAAGCCGCTAAGCCTTTAATAGCCGCTAAACCGCTAATAGCGCTAATCCCCTAAGCCGCTAATAGGGTTGCTTCGCAAGACGAAAAAACCGCTAGATGAAGAGACTCGCGGAACGGATTATTTTCGTCTTGCGAGGCACCACTTTATACAGTATTGGCTTATGAAGCTGAAATGGTTAAAACACTTGTGCCACATGCTTGAATGGGAAATCTGCCACAATAGAAGGTTTCTTAGGTTAATTAAGAGTTTCTTATAATACAAAGGTGATTGCAGAAACTTTCAAGCTCTCCATCTCTCACCCACCAGATTGCCTTGAACGAACTATTGTGTGAGTATATTCTGAGTGCATTTTTAATATATGGGCTAGGCAACCAATGAAAATGCTTTGGTCCACTTCCCAGCTAAATCACCTTGGATCTGCCACAGTTTTTGAACACTGAAAACCTGGAAGTAACTGTTCTGGTTGTTAAACTATTTTCAGAAGCTAAACATGTCAAGAATTTTAGGCAGGAAGTGGGGTATAAATCTAGGCAAGCAAGCAAGCAAGCAAGAAAACAAACAAAGATAACTTTTACTAGCCATAGAACCCTGGCTATGCTATAGGTCATGTGTCGGCAAACTAAGGCCCGCAGGCTGGATCAGACCCTATTGCCTTCTGGATAAGGCCCGCGAACGGTCCGGGAATTGCCGCGTGGATTGCCAGCATGTGCGTTCTTTCCCTCTCCCTCCCTCTCCCTCACACGGCAGCGGTGCCGGCGCCTCCTCCCTCCTGGCTTCTCCCCGCCCTGCCTAGAGGAGGAAGGGGGCTGGGATTTGTTGGTGCCAGCAGCAGCAGCGCTCGAGCAGCCGCCATTTTAAGTAGCCCCTCTCCAGTGCCCTTTTGCGCACCACTCAGTGTCCTGCCACTGCCACCATCCCCTGCCGCTCGCGAGACACAGGTAAGCAGCCACCGTGGCTTGTGGTGCTCTTGCATAATCCCCCCCCCAATAGTCCGGCCCCCCACAAGGTCTGAGGGACAGTGGACCGGCCCCCTGCTGAAAAAGTTTGCTGACCCCTGCTCTAGGTATTTGAGGACTGTATGTGGGTACCTCTTCTCCTCCCTCTCCAGCAGACTGCGGTACGTAGCTATTTCTTGCTCAAGCCTCATCTTAGTGTTTAGTAATATTTCGTGTTGCTGCAGCTGCTTTTCAATCCCTTGCCGCACTTTGTGTAGCTCTCTCTCCAGGCCTTCAATCTCTGCTTCCAGGTGCTTCAGTTGTGTCTGGTACCGCTGTTCTGTGGTGCGCAGAGCATTTTCCAGACCCTTTTCCTGTTAAATTAGATTACTGGTTTCAATTCTTGAATGTACTTCTAAAAAGCCCAGGACCATTAAAAAAAACAAGGGAGGGGATAAATAACTTTTAAAAACCACACATACACAATCAACTTTACATTTTAAATTAAATTCAAACTAATAAAATCAGTATTTGTCACAAACCTTTATATTCTGAGCAATATAAAACAGTGGAACCTTGGTTTTCGATCGCCTCGGAAGGCGAAGGTTTCAGTTTTTGAACACTGAAAACCTGGAAGTAACTGTTCTGGTTTTTGAACTATTTTCAGAAGCGGAATGTGCTACATTTTGAGTTTCCCTATTGTATTGAGGCTTCCGTATTTAGTTCAGTGGCGGAGCTTCATGCTCTGGCACTGGGGGGTGGAGAGCAGGTGGGGGCGTGGCTGGCGCATGTCCTGGAGGCGTGGCATGCCGCCTGAGGGGGCGTGGCACCCAGCATGGGCGGGGGGAAGCCGTGATGGCGTCCCACCGGGATCGTGCTGCCGGGGGTGGTGCGTTCCCTCCACACTCCTCTTCCTCCGCCAGTGATTGAGTTTTCAGTTTTCGAATGTTTTGGAAGTCAAACGGTCTTCCAGAACGGATTACATTCAAAAACTGAGGTTCCACTGTAGTTAAATTCAATCAGGGTTGATTGCAGATATTTGGCTACAGGGATCAGATCTATTAATGCATGAATTGCCAACCTTCAGTGACCAGTGGAAACATTTTGAATTTTGAGAAAGTACTGTGGGCGCCAATCACAAAATGGCTGCCCTAGGGGCATGGCACAAGGTCATGCTTGCTGTGGGAAGTCACCCATGTCCTAATGCAGGCATAGGCAAACTCGGCCCTCCAGATGTTTCGAGACTACAACTCCCATCACCCCTGACCACTGGTCCTGTTGACTAGGGATGATGGGAGTTGTAGTTCCAAAACATCTGGAGGGCCGAGTTTGCCTATGCCTGTCCTAATGGATTTGACTATGGAGATCCCACAATATTGTTTCCCTTTCCCACAATGCTGCTGTTGCTGTCTGATAACAATAGAGGATTATGGGTTCCATTTCCCATTTCTCCATGTGACCTTTCCCTTGCCAATCTCCTCCCAGGCCATCCTTTTCACAATCTAGGTGACAAGAAAATAGAACTTATCACAAGTAGTGGGCACCGTAGACTAAGGAGGCAGCAACAAATCAGGAATAAAAGTCGGAAGAGAGATGCAGCAGCAGACTGAACTATTGGGGTTGCCTGGCAGGAGCACCCTATATGAGTTCCTGATACAGTAAACTATGATCTAGCCATGAAGTAAACTGGTCCTGACTTCTAGCTTATTGTTTGACCCTTTTTGCTGCCTTTGTTCTTCCTGACTCCTGTCTTATTCCAGGCTCACCTCAGACCCAGCCTACAGTGCTGGGAATGGTAGAGATAAAGCCATACCCTCCAAGATTTCTCCAATGAAAATAGGGACGTCCCACTCCATAATGATAATTTTACTATTTATACCCCACACATCTTACTGGGCTGCCCCAGCCACTCTGGGAAGCTTACAACATATATCAAAACATAATAAAACATTAAAAAACACTTCCCTATACAGGATTGCCTTCAGACGGCTCGGAGGTCGGATAACTCCATACCCTCCAACATTTCTCCAATGAAAATAGGGACATCCTAAGGAAAAGTGGGACATTCCAGGATCAAATCAGAAACCGACTTCTCTAAATCAGGGATGTCCCTGGAAAATGGGGTCTGTAAAGTTACCTTGGATACTGTGAGCCCAAGGGAAAACAGCAAGCAATTTCACCTCCTCTCTCTGCACAGACAGCCCAGCTGCTCCATCAGACTTACCACAGCATGGAGAGAATCAATTTCCATCTGCATATGGTGCCACTGGCGTCTTGCTTCATTTAGCTCTGCCCTGGCTGCTTTTAGCGCTTCCTCGTCTTTGCTCATTCTTTCACTAGTGGCTTCTTCTAGCTGCAAAGAGGAAGCATTGGCCACATCAGTTCAAGATGCCCCACACTGAAAATTTCAAATTTGGCTGTGTAAATGAATCTTAGGTTCCTGAGACAAAGCATACCCGGTGCACAATTCAAGTCTTCTTCGTTTTATTATACTATCATTGAAACAAGATGGTTCTGAAGGGAGTTGAATGATTTCACAGTGGGAGCAAAAGCAAAAATAAATAAAATGGACGGGGTGGTCATAGGTCTGCCTGAAAAGAAATGGCATATGTTCTAACCCACCTCACCCCACTTTGAGCACAGGACATGGTATCAGAAGGGACTTGCTACCTACAAACTGAGAACAAAATGCTAGAGCAGAGTTTCCCAAACTTGGGTCTCCGGCTTAACATTGGGGTGGGAGAGAATGTTCTACCTGCATACAATCTGCAGCAAGTACAAGGTCGCCAACACATCAGAAAGGCCAATGTTGCTCTTGTATTTAATGGTGGCTCCTGTGGATAGGATCTGAAGAACTCAGCAGCTGCTACAAGGCCAGTTTTTCATTCCCCACAGCATCTTTAGTACCAGTGCTTAAACCAAGATGCCTTCATGCAGCTCAGCCTGATATGTGCCAAGACAGACACACTGAAGCTCAAAGAAGACCCAAGAAGAACTAATTGCACAATTCCGTTGAGGGACTTGGCATGTTTCAAAGGACACATTGGCACAACTCTAGAGGTTACTCCATAATATTGTTTGCTTATTTATAAAATGTCATCCATATACAGTACAGTGCTACCTCGGGTTAAGAACTTAATTCGTTCTGGAGGTCCGTTCTTAACCTGAAACTGTTCTTAACCTGAGGCACCACTTTAGCTAATGGGGCCTCCCGCTGCCGCCACCGCGCAATTTCTGTTCTCATCCTGAAGCAAAGTTCTTAATGCAAGGTACTATTTCTGGGTTAGCGGAGTCTGTAACCTGAAGTGTCTGTAACCTGAAACATCTGTAACCCGAGGTACCACTGTACATGGCACTTTACAAAAAAGAGGTCCTTGCCCCAAAGCTCTTACAGTCTAAAATAGACACAGAGGATGCGGGGAATGGAGTAGTGGGCAGGCAGGGAATGAATATACAGTTACTTCAATTACTATCACATATACCATACTTTTCCATCTATAAGACACCCCCATGTACAAGATGCCCCCTTTAAGAATTTATGAATATTGGGGGGTGGGGTGTCACAGAGTTGTTAAGCTTTTTTTTGCGGAGGATTGCCCAGGGTTGTTGAGTTTTTTTAAGGGGGGGATTGCTGAAAATCTCTCACCTCCTGTCTGTACCGTCGCTGGCAGAAGCTGCCAATAATCAACCCAACTGCTGGAGGGTCAGCCAATCAACACCACCCACTGATGCAGCAACCAATCAAACGTTCACCCTATGCACTACCCATGTATAAGACGACCCCCACTTTTAAGCATGATTCTCAAAGAAAAAAACATAGTCTTATACACAGAAAAGTATGGTACTTTGGCTTTGTTACAATGGGAACTAGGGAGAAGTTCTAAGGGCTTCCCAGAAAGTTCTAGGATGCAGAAATATACTGTTAAGGACTCGCTGACTTAAGGACTCACCGAAGCTTCTCAAGAAAGTTCAAAATACAGTCAAGGTGTCTATGAATCAGTTGCTTGGATATCACTGGGAGGGGGGGAAGGCAAATGGTTTGAATCCCAGAGTAATCATTAAGTTCATAATTCAGAAACACTACTCAGTTCCTACATCAGATGACATGAGGAATCTGCTAACCCGTGTACTGTATTCAAATCTCATGCACACCCTAGTTTTCAAAACCTTGAAACTCAAAAAGGTATTTGCTTGAGAATGTAATGCGCATTGGAAAAAAGCGCACTCCCAAGGCCTGTTCAATCTTCTCTCCTGAGAGCCGCCATTTTCTGTCTCAAATACCGTCCCAGCGCAAATGGGCTACTGTGCCCATGCCTGCAGCTAGACTCTTTTTCACATGACAATGCCGGTTCCTGCAACATTCACCTTGTTCACCGGTAAGACCAAGTCCTTGTTGGGGGGAGGGACACAGGACGGGGCAATCTTGAATCAGCGGCTTGCGTGCTGAGCGGGGCGAGGGGAAAGGCAGTGTGTTTCTACAAGCAAACTCCTGTGATGCCCCCGACTCACTTCACCCGGCTCCAGATGCTTCTGCTGACCCAGGTGGCTCTCCCCCTCCTGTGGCAAGGATGGCAGCGGAGGCAGTGGAGTGGCAAAGAGTGACCGGACCTCCCAGTTAGCAAGAGCTCGTCTTTTTTTCATGGTGCCCAAAGGAAAAAAAGCGGACTCAGCAGAACTTGATCACCCCATCCAAGCAAGTTTGCAATCAAATCTAATGCACCATCAAATCTAATGCACACCCTATTGTTCACGGCAGAATTTGGCCAAAAAAAGTGTGGATTACATTCAAGGAAATACGGTCATTTCAACACCTCACATTTCTTCATCTACCTATTGCAGTTAAGCCAGCGCAGGGAAGTCTTCCAACAACAGAACTGTGAGACATTTGGTGACATCATAGCGGTCCAGATAGTATTTACTTTTTTTTAAAGAAAAAATCATTTGTATACTGCCTTTCTGTCCTTAATAGTACTGGGCATGCACCTACACAGGAGGAATGTGTTGCAGTGGGTGTGTTGTTGCAGAGAGGGTCAGTTCTGACAAAATACAGCCCACTGGTCAAGAAATCAAATATATGGGGCCAGGCATGTGCAGAGCTTGTCTGAGGACATGGGAGGCATTGGACATTCTTGGTATGATGGCGTAAGTTCAGCAGGCCCCTGGCGCACACACACCCAGGCCGACTTAGCCCTCTGAGGTTCAGGACAGGTGTACCCAGTTGTCCCACCCTGCATGAGACGCGCCCTTGGTACTATGGGACAATTCTGGAGGCAGCAATTCTGAGGCAATAGTAGACATAGATATGATAGCGCTACAGAGGCTTTGGGGGATAATAGGTACTTTGCACAATTAACCCCAGATAAGGATGCTTGATGGCTCCACTTCAACAGTGACTAGGCATCATCTGACATTCAGAAAGCTCATGTTGCTTCTCCCCCCCCCCACAAGGTGCTTCTGGAAAAACTTGTCATTCTGTCTTCATTTTTGTAATTACATTTATTGGCAGGGAATTAAAATAGTCCCCTGGCCAAAAGCCACCCCCCCATTTGTACTAGAACATGTGAACAATATATAATATTTGAGTCTTTAATGAGAATACATAATATATATGTAGGACAAAAAAGGTTACCCTTAAAAACAAGAAAGAAAATGATGGTCTGAAAGCCGCAAAATGGATCACAGATTAAATGGGTTTAAAAACAACAACAAAAAACCCCTAATAATAATTTCATGTATTTATTAACCCAGATAAAGCCTGGGCTATATAATTTTATTCAGCCCGATGGATCTGATACCTGTTTGAAAATGCATAAACACTGCTGAAGCATCATATTGGAATTTGACTTCTCATCTGGTTGCTAGAAAATAATCGTCGGCAACTAGTTCAGACATAAGTTGTGGATTTCTACTGACACATACTTCTGAGGTAATATTTTTACAAATACCTAGCTTTGTTCCTTCTGAAGAAATGCATGTACTCTGTCATTACCAGATTACAAATTGCCTTTGCACGACACATCCCCAGATAACAGGGGAGTGACTGTAGGCATGGAGGACATCATCTAAGGCCTGGTTTGTGCTGTTCATGGTACATGCAGAAGAAATTCATGCTTATTTATGGTTATTTATGCATTTCCAGAAGAAGAAGAAGAAGAAGAAGAAGAAGAAGAAGAAGAAGAAGAAGAAGAAGAAGAAGCAGCAGCAAGAAGTACATCCTCACAACAGAGGTCAAATATATGCATGGAATTTGCATATGCAGCTAATTAATATGTATACCTATAGGTTCACATTTAGAAAAACAAAAATACTTGCAATCCAGGCAGAAACATGAAATATGATATGAGGATGAATGTGACCTGTATGTTTGTTCAGTTTGATGCTGTTGGCGGGCAACTCCAAGGCTCCAGTTGCTGTCCCTTCTTACGGTTCATTACTAGGGGCTACACTTGCCAACCTCCCCCCCCCCGGCCTGCCATTCTCCCCTTTCCATTAATCCCCTTTCCATCTCATGCAACTATTAAGCTCACTTTTCACCTCTCCAGCTCCATTTCTGAAGGCACTTCTCCCCTTTATTCTGTAGCCCTGCTTTGCACCTCTTTTCACCTTCACCTTCACCTTCACCTTCACCTTCACCTTCATGTCCATGCCTCCTCCTGCTCCTCTTTTTGTGCCTCTGACCCTTGCTCACAAACCACCCTCAGGGGAAACCCATGCATCTTTCTCCTTCCACACATTGCAATGCCTTAGCACCCTTGCCACCTTCCATCCGATTATGAAGCTACTTTCCCCTCCTGTTCTGCGGACACTTCATGCCCCAGCTTTCATGCTCACCCCCTTCCCATGCCTCCTTCTCCCTCCTTTTTTTTTGCAGCTCCCTTTACACCCCCATTTTCACTTTCACTCCCTTTCCCTCCTCAACTCGACCTTGAACACGGACCACCCCTTTTCCACGACTCATCCTCTCTCCTATATTAACAGCCCCTTTTGCGTGTGAACCATTGTGAAACGCACAGTACTATATCTTTTAAGTTAAATAGATTATTAAGAGCAAGGCTGTCAGTTAGCTTGTTCAGTTAGGGAAGGTTAAGTTCAGCTGGTGGCTTATGCACATATATGGCTTATTAATAAAATATCTGTTCTAAATTATTACACGGAATCTGGAACTTTATGCTGAAGACAACACATGGCACCAGGAGTGAAATACAGTGTGTGACACTACAATGGAGTATTTGAGACCTCTCCTTCCTTGGTCTCTCTCACATGAGGTAGCTGAGGAATGAAAGAGGGAGAAGTTTAAGTACAGTGAGAAGGGGGTAGCGTTGTGAGGGGAAAAAAGTGGCCGTTTTAAACAACAGGTCGTGTTGCAGTCAGTAAAGCAAGCGAGGAGCAACTCTGAGAGGAAAATGGCAGTTTTAAACATCAGCAGAGGTTTGAGTGAAGCTGGAATGCTTTAAAACAGCCACTTTGACTCCTTTCAGGGTCTCTCCCTTCTCACTGTACTCAAACTTCTTTCCTCAGCTATTTCATGTGTGAGAGATAAAAGACTCACTGGCATGCACCACTCACCCCCCGAAGGTTGATCACGAGTGAATGTGGCCTCATAGCCTCCAACTGCCCTGAAAATGCCGGGACCATCATGAAAACCCTTAAGCCATTGTGGCTTCTCACTTTCTCACACAGAATCCAAAATCCCCATCTTTGTTGAAGTACACTAATCAGAAATGGCTTCACGCTGGGGGAAGCAGGGATGAGAGAGTTGCCGACTGAGACCTCCTCTTCTGTCACCTCCTTTGCTGCTGTTCCTGGGAGTTGTAGTAGGTGGGTTGCGGGGGGGGGGGGAGGAAGAGTCTTGCACCGGGTTCGAGCGAGGGAGCTAGAGCGGCCAGCCAGCAGAGTATCAGCAGCACAAGTAGCGGGTAGAGAAGGAGAAGGGGGAGGGAGGCAACAGGGACACTGACGTCCCCGTCCCCATTGTGGGAGGCTGCGACTCTCCAACCTGGTGGGTCCCCATCCAGTTGACCAGGCCAAATAAAAACAAGAAGGAGAAAGTGAGCCACGTCAGGTCTGAAGAGAAAGTGGCGGCTAGAAGAGACCATGGGCAGGAACACGCGCTGGGTGTGTGTAGCTGGCAGGATGAAGACAGGCCTGTGGGGGGCTGGAGTGGAGGGTTGTGGGGGCAAGGAGGTTATGGGGTCAAGGGTGGGCACTGGAGCTAGCTGGGCTTTGCACGGGGAGGGGTTGTCTGCATCCTGAAAAACTTTAATAAAAATCTTAACATGCAAAAGCAACAATAGCCCCTCCCAAGCAGTGATGCAGAATTATGAGGACAGTTGGAGGGTATGAGGCCTGAAGAAAGTTCCTCACCCCTGCCCTATCCTACAGCTTTTCTGTTGACCCAGGACCATTGGTATATAGGTAGGGTGGTGCTGTGGGTTAAACCACAAAGCCTAGGACTTGCCGATCAGAGGGTCGGTGGTTCGAATCCCTGCGATGGGGTGAGCTTCCATTGCTTGGTCCCTGCTCCTGCCAACCTAGCAGTCCGAAAGCATGTCAAAAGTGCAAGTAGATAAATAGGTACCGCTCCGGTGGGAAGGTAAACGGCGTTTCCGTGCACTGCTCTGGTTCGCCAGAAGTGGGTTAGTCATGCTGGCCACATGACCCGGAAGCTGTACGCTGGCTCCCTCGGCCAATAAAGCGAGATGAGCGCTGCAACCCCAGAGTCAGCCACGACTGTACCTAATGGTCAGGGGTCCCATTTCAACAACATATGTTGCTATCAGTGGTTCACATACATGTTTCACAGAGCAGCTGGGTGCATTGAGATGTGGGGAACCCAGGTTCAAGTTGCTGCTCTGCGGAGAAACTCTCTGGACAGGCATGTCAGTGCCTCTGGGCCTAACCTAGCAGGCTGCTGTGAGGACAAGTTGTTGTAACCCATCCCAGCCTCTTGGGACAGGATTTGAAAGCTGCTGGAACATACAAGTAGTATCATCTTACACCAGAAGCAAGCCTGCCGTGAGATAATAATAGGACCATACATTCAGAAATAACCATATTTAAAGTGTAGCAGGGTGATAAAATCAGCCTGCAACTAGCTTACATATCTTGGTTTATGATGTGTTGCGGTACTCAGACTAATTGTCCAGCTGTGATTCACAGATGTTTATTTCTGTGTGGATGTCTAATGGTGTCATTGTGACCGGATAACCTTTAAGAAATACGAGAGCTAGAACAAGGCAAGGCATTGCAAAACACTACGGCACTCGTTTTCTGGGGGGACACCGTAAATATTACCCCGAGGGTTAAAGCACAGGCTCCCACAACCTTAAAAGTGGCTAGAAATTTTAACCCACCTTAAAATGGCTCCTATACACAACTGCTAAAGGATGCCTACTTTATCCCCCCCCCAACAAAAAAAGAATCATCTCAAAATGAGCCAAGAGTACTATTTCATTTGGGGCGAGGGGGTGGGAATCACAAAAACCTTTGCCATCCTATTTACATAAACAGATAGATGCAAGGTGACACGACTCTTATACCTTCATGTATTTCCCCGCAGTTTTTCGGGCTAGATATACTGCAGTATGAGAGGAGAAAGAATGGAATAACACACACACACCGCGATTCCCTTTCCCCAAAAAAAGGCTGCATTGGAAAAGAAAATACTGTACCTCACAGAGGCTGAGAGAGGAACTGAGTACACATTGGATTGCCTCCTTATTCGGGTAGGTGCCTTTCTGTATATAATCATTACCTGGGTCCCTGCTGAGAGGATGGTCTCTATCTGACTTCTGGTGATGAGCGTTTCATAGTTTGCCCTGATCTCATTGAGGAGCTGGGACAGTTCCATGCTGCTCCCATCCTCCACCTTGGCTAACTCAACCTTATGGATAGGGCGAGAAGCCTGCAGCAGCAGCAGCAGCAGCAGCAGCAAAGCATTCTCAGCCTGCAGTAAGAGTGAGAACACAGAGGGAGAGGGAGAGAGAGAGGAGGGAGGAAAACACTGATTTTTTTTTTAAAGCAGCAGAGTTCTATTCTCTTAGCAGCATTGAAGAATGGCCATTTGTTTTTGATTTATTTGATTTATATATACCGCCCTTCATCCTAAGATCGCAGGGCGTTTCACAGAATAATATACAGGATAAAGGTAAAGGGTAAAGGGACCCCTGACCATTAGGTCCAGTCGTGGCTGACTCTGGGGTTGTGGCGCTCATCTCGCTTTATTGGCCGAGGGAGCTGGCATACAGCTTCTGGGTCATGTGGCCAGCATGAATAAGCCGCTTTTGGCGAACCACAGCAGAGCAGCCGTTTACCTTCCCGCCAGAGCGGTACCTATTTATCTACTTGCACTTTGACGTGCTTTCGAACTGCTAGGAAATAGCGAAAGCAAAACATCAAATCAATAACACACACACACACACCCTTTCTCACAGACACCTTCAAAAGGCTGTAGAATCAGCCAAAGGCCTGATTGGTTACATGTTTTATTGTGTTTCTTTGTTTTTTGATGTTTTAAAAATGTTTTAAACAAGTTTTTATTTTGTTTTTATTACAGATATGCTTGCCCCTCTGTGGGCTATGCTTGGGAGGGAGGGTGGCATACAGTTAAATTTGATAGACAGATAAATAAATAAACTATATTAATGATTTTAAATGAAGGTATTACTTGTTTACGCCAGATCACTATATTGTGAATTGCTTTATAATTGCCTTGGCTTTCCTGCAGCTAAATGATCTAACACTTTGTGGCCTTAAGGCCTCATGAGGAATGATAAATAAGTTGAATATGGGATGTTGAAACTCGAACATCCTACACACTTTTCTTTGGAAGCCAAGAAAGCTAAATACATAATGCAACATCCTACAAATATTTCTCTGGAAGCAAAGCAACCCACATACCTAACGCAATAGGTTTAAAGAGTTCATTTTCAACATTTTGTTTTGAATCAGCAAATTTCCTCACGCCTCAGTTCAGCTCTGGGATTTTATTGGCACTGGGATTTTATTTATTTATTCAAAATATTTATGAGTTGCTTTTCTTTATCGATATTCAATGGAACATACCAAAATAATAGGCCTGCAATGAAATGATAAAATGTAGCAGAGTGATGAAATAATGGCTTAGATATTTATTTATTTATTTATTTATTTATTTATTTATTTATTTATTTTCTATACCGAACACGCTCAAAAATTAAGTGCGGCCAATAATTTCAGTTTCAATTCAACCTTCCAAACAGTGGAAGTAAAAACATAGAATTACAAAACTTAAGAATTATTAAAAGTCTCCAAGAAAAATGATGCAGGAATTGGTGCGTCCCTTAGTTGTCTTACAAGGGCATCATACAAATTGGGGGCCAGTACTCCCTCACCCTGGTCGCCATACATTTGAATCCACCTGGTGGGGGCATCTGAATACCATATTTTTCCGTGTACAACATGCCCCCTATTTTTGGAGATTCCATCAGTTGCCCGTCTCCCATATATACTATCCATGTATAAGACGACCCCCAATTTTAAAGTTGAAAAAAATGGGAGAAAATATAGTCTTATACACGGAAAAATATGGTAATTCCTTTTAATGGAGATATTTGGGCTGAAGACAGGCATTCAGGTATTCAAGTCCTAACCCATTAGAGCAGGGTTTCCCAAACTTGGGTCACTCCCCTGTTTCTGGACTACAATTCCCATCGTTCCTGACCACTGGTCCTGCTAGTTAAGGGATGATGGGAGCTGTAGTCAGAAAAACAACTGGAGACCCAACTTTGGGAAACCCTGCATTAGAGCATGATGGAGACCCTGTGACCTTCCAGATGTTGTCATATCCCTCTTGCTCCAGCCGGCATAGACACAGGTTAAGGATGATGGGAGTTGTAGTCCAGCCACAGGTTCCCACTGGAGCTTTGAAGGTTAAGTTAATCACTCTGAATCATGTTTTGAAAGGCACTGAAATCCAGTGTAGCTATTTTAATGTCAATGTGATATCGTCAGAATGATGGTTCTAAGCTGGAATTCTGATTGCAGTGTTTTGATGCAGCTGAAGATTCTGAGCTGCCTTTAAGGACAGTCTGGAACACAACACATTACAAAATCTAGCCTGGATAGAGCATAACTTTCTCCATAACAATGGAGGGGCCACATTAATATACCAGAGGAAAATTAAGATCTGCAGAAAAATCTACATTAATGTTTCCCATAGAGAATTCACCAGATTAATTTAAGAAGGGAATTTAGGCTCCAACTGGGAGTTATAATTCAGCAACATCTTCCTCACTCCATGTTTGACATGTTAACTGGATTAGAATGTTTTTTTATTTTTATTTACAGCCCACATTTTGGCTTATTCCAAATCCTCAAGGATGCTCACATTCAAAGCACCATAGAACTGAGCAAAACAGGCTCTTTAAACCACCAATTCTTTGGTCCACCTAAGCGATCTGTGTGTTTTCATCCATCTCAGCCTTGCAAACTCCTTAATTGACTGCATCTATACTCCTACACTTGAGCTCTGTGTAGATGTACACAGTGCTCTTGTTTCTTCAAGCTGTGACAAGTACCCTTGTGTTTCCTCGGCCCTAGGTACGATTACATACCTCGATGTCACAACAGGATGCTAACGATGGATGCCTCCTATGTGAACTCAGCTGGACCAGATAATGATCAGTCAATTTTTGCAGTTCAAAGTTTCGACGCTTTGAAATAGCATCATCCAGGCAAAGATTTATCAAAGCTTCTGCCAAGTGAATGCCGCTGGAAATTGTGCTTGACGTTGATGTGCGTGTTCAAACAAGATAGTATTAAATAAAAATCCAGACACTATATTCCTTTGAATCTGAGCTCAAAAGATACTGGTGCTGCAGACTGAAGCACTCATTCCTAGCTTTGTGCTGACTTTAAAACCTGAAATGCTTAAAAAACAAACAAACAGTGGGCAGGGGGGAGTGGAGGTCTACGATCTATCTTCCCATAAGCATCTGGTTGGAAACTGTGAGACCAGGATTCCACACTTAGGCAGGCATGTGGTCTATTCCAGCAGTGATTTTCTTACATTCTTCTCTAAACAGGGATGGATAAACTGTGGCCCTCCATAGGTTGTTGGACTCCATTAGCCCCAGCCAGCAGAGGCAGATTAAATGGTCCCTGCCACGCCCCCCCCCCCCGGCCAGAGGATTGGCTGGCCGAGCTCTGACGTAGCAGGGATCCCCCGGTGGGGAGTGGGTGGCCACGCAGTCCACCGCAACTTCTCCCCACTGGGAAGTGGAGTGGATCTGTGGCCCTCCATAGGTTGTTGGACTCCATTAGCCCCAGCCAGCAGAGGCAGATTTAGGGGAGCGTGGCTGGTTCTCCCGCACAGGGTGTTAAGCCGAAGCTAAATGTTGGAAGATTCGGGGCACATAAAAATAGTACTTCTTCATGCAGTGTAAAGTTCAACTAGGGAAGTTGCTCCCGCAAGAGGCAATGATGGCCATCAACCTAGATGGCTTTAAAAGAGGTTGGACAAATTCATGGAACAAAGGGCTGTCAACGGCTCCTAGCCATGATGGCTATGCTTCTGCCGCCACAGCTGGAGGCAGTGATACTTCGGAATTCCAGTTGCTGGAAGCTACAGGAGGGGAGAACGTCCTTGTGAAAGGTCTTGCTTGCTGGTTGCCCACAGTGGCCACTGTGAGAATATTGGACTAGATGGGCCATTGGCCTGATCCAGCAGGCTCTTATGTTCTTATGCTCAGGTCCTGCTCATGGAAAACCTGCACTGTCTTTTAGGAAGAGACTACAGCAGTCTGCTCTCTTTAAGCTTGGTAAAAGGTAAAGGTAAAGGAACCCCTGACCATTAGTTCCAGTCAAGGATGACTCTGGAGTTGCAGTGCTCATCTCGCTTTATTGGCCGAGGGAGCCGGCATACAGCTTCTGGGTCATGTGGCCAGCATGACTAAGCCGCTTCTGGCGAACCAGAGCAGTGCACGGAGACGCCGTTTACCTTCCCGCAGGAGTGGTACCTATTTATCTACTTGCACTTTGATGTGCTTTTGAACTGCTAGGTTGACAGAAGCAGGCACCAAGCAACGGGAGCTCACCCCGTTGTGGGGATTCAAACGGCCAACCTTCTGATCAGCAAGCCCTAGGCTCTGTGGTTTAACCCACAGCTTGTTACATTTAATATTATATGAATGCTATGTTTGAATTATTCTCTCTCTCTTTCTCTTGGGTATGTGTGAGAAACAACCTTAGTAAACAGACATTGGCTCCATTCCAGGCAGAGTGTGAATTGACTTGCTAAGCAATCTTGCTAAATATATTTACTAAGAAACAAATCCCACTGTGTTCAGTTGGGCTTTCTCCCTAGCAAATGTGTTTAGCCAACTTGGTGACCCTCATATACACTTGGACTCAAGCTCCTATCAGCGGCAATCAGTGTGGCTCATAGTCAGGGATGATGGGAGTTGTCATTCAACAACACCTAGAGGGCCACCAGGTCTCCCAGCATCGCATAATGGTTAGAGGAGGGTTTCCCAAACCAGGGTCTCCAACTGTTTTTGAACTACAATTCCCATCACCCCTGACCACTGATCTTGCTATCTAGGGATGATGGGAGTTGTAGTCCAAAAGCAGCTGGAGATCCAAGTTTGAAAAACATTGGGTTAGAGTGTTGAACTATGACATGGGTGCCAGGGACACAAAACCCATGGGGTGAACTTGGACCAATCACTGCCTCTGGGCCTAATCTACCTCACAAGGATGTTTTGAGGATAATGTGAAGAGAGTGAGAGATCCATGTGTGCCCCCTTGAGCTCCTTGGATGAAAGGTAAGACGTAAACACAACAAATAATATAGAAATAGAAAGGACAAGGAGAACATCACCAGGGTTGAAAATATTCTAGTCAAAGTCAGATATTACTTGCAACAGTAAGAAAGTTTATTGCATTGTGGCAGTAAACAGAATGTAGTTCTCAGTATTTCTAAAAGCATACACCTCTGTAAAGTTTTAAGAAAGCATATTGAGTGGGATTTCCCCCTCTCTAGAGCCCATATTTGCGAGAAGCTACTAAGCTACAATTGACTCTGGTTCCAGGAGGTTTTCTTCTACTTGGGCATTCCCTTGCTCGCCTGAGTTGAAGGGCTCCCTGCTCTGCTTTTCATGCTGTTCACTTCGTTGCTCTTTCTTCAACTGATTTCACTTGAGAAGAGACCACTTTGCCATCCACCACTTCTTCAACGATGGTCTTCACCACCCTTGTTTTGAGGGGCTCTGATAAAGGAATGAAATGATGATAGAGTTAACCATTGATAATATCACTAAATGGGTTCACATGGCCTATTTTCCCAACACGTGGGAAACTACTGGAGTTGAGCTGGAGGAGAAGCACCGAGTATTGATTTATTAATTCATTTGCTCTTTCATTCAAGATGTTTATATCTTGCCTTTCCTCCAGTCTGGAGCTCTTGGCAGCTAACAACCAATACATAAGCAACCGTACAAAACAACACATCATTTAAACTACAAAGTTGTAACAGCAACAATTCAGCAGTGAGTAATAGCAGCGAAACCACTCCTAAAATTGCTTTACCCCATTATGCAAACACCTGGCCATTAGTATAGAATAGCAACATCCATCGAAATGTCATCCTTTACCTCTTCCTGCCCAGACACATATTGTTTCAAGCAAACAACAGAGGTTTCAATGTGCACTGCTTGTTACATCCCACAGCAATTTAACTAATCGGTAATGCTTTGTGACTGCAGGCCAACAGAAACCTGGCAAGTTTCTCCAGACTTGGGTCAGCTTTTAGTCACTTTTTCTGCCAGCCAGTTACATCTTACAATGCCATCCAGACAGTGACTGCAGAAAGATCCCTTGTGGGGACAGGACAATACTCATGTTGAATATGCCACTGAATGAATAAATATGCCATGGTCCTGGCAACATATGTTGGCCACAGGATCTGAAGAAGGTGGACCAGGGGAATGTTTTTGTTGAGACTAATGTTTGGTACTCACACTTTTTACTGCTGGGAACATTAGGGCAGGGCAATCGTTCCCCCCAGACTTTCTTTCTCACGAATGGATACATTTACTTATTGCATTTATATCCCCACCTTGTTCTCCAAGGAGCTCAAGGTATCTTACATCGTTCTCCCCCCCCTTTGTTATTTAATCCCCACAGCAACCTTGCGAGAGACAGTGACCAGTCCAAGACAATCCAGTGAGCTTCATGTTCTAGTGGGGATTTGAAACCTGGTCAGACACTCTGACCACTAAACACACTGGCTCTCTATTTGGGAATTCTATGCACAGCACAAGTATTATTCTGTTCTTCTTCTGTTGACTCTTTATTTGGATTCAGGCACATGATTTTCTGTAAACTCAACAGAATGCAGATTACCAAAGGAATACAATCTAACTGAACGTTCCCTCCCAATGTTTGCTTTTCTCTTCTTCTTCTTTTAATTTCAGGCTTATTCTGCAATGGTGTGCATTTTATCAAACTGAGCTTACTGGTTTTTTATTTATTTATTAAATTCTTTTTCTTTCTTTTTAAATGTAGTGAGTGATAATTAGTTTTCCGCCCACAGGGAGCTGAAGGCCTTTGAAATCCATTCCCACTTCTCTGGTAGCATGTTAATTCTGAACACACTCCTTGAGTTGAAGCTGATGAAGTGAAAGGGACTCATGGCAGTATGGATAAAGGCTAGTGCAAATACTCTTAAGTCAGCATTGTTCAATTTGATGCCTTGGGGGGGGAGGCTAGGGATGTCTGTCACTTGTCTACTGCCTCTGCTACTTGTGGTTGTTTGCTACAGTTCTCAGAAATGTTGAAGGATTACTCAGCTTGGGGGTGGCAGTGGTGCAAAACCAGGGGGGGTTGCGGTGCAAAAGGGTTTGAGACTATTGCAAAATTCGGGCACTGCTTTGCAGTGAATCGAACAATGTTGGGTTTGGGGGGATACCTATGGCCCCTGCTTTGAGCATCTTGGGGTGGTGGTACAAAAAAAGTGCAAAAATTTTGGCACCAGTTTGGAGTGAACCAGACAATGTTGGGTTTTTAGATGTTAACGGCGAGCGCCAGTTTGATGTATCAACTTACCCAGCTTGGGAGGTGGTACAAAGTGTGGGGTTCATGGTGCAAAACAGTACAAAACAAGTATGAAACTTTGGCCTCAGTTGGGAGGGGACCCCAAATTTCAGGGTTCGTATTTAAGAAGCCTTGAACGGCAGTGGAAGAGCCAAATAGCCAACAGTTCAGGGCAAGGGACTCTAGTCTAGAACATGGAAGCTGCCTTATATTGAGTCAGACCACTGGAATAGCTAGTTCAGTATTGTCTACACTCGCTTGCAGCAGAGCTCCAGGGTTTTAGGTGTGTGTGTGTGTGTGTGGAGATATTTCAGTCCTACCTAAAGAGAGTCTTAGGTTCCCTCTGGTTCCACCTTAAAGCTTGCCCCCCCCCCCCGTTATGGAAAGAAGGGCACAATTTTCAGATTTATACATTGTCCTTTTAAATACAAAACAATATTACTCTGAAATAATAAATTGTAATTACCTCTGATTTGAACTTTTGGTTCGTAAGTGCGGAAACTGTCAAAAAGGAACAAAACGATAACTTGTTAATACTCTTATGAAACTGGCAGATTTTTTAAAAAAATATTTTTAGGAAGTGGTTGTGGAAGCAGTAATGATTTCAGTACAGTTGCATGGTGTGTCATTCACATTCCTGGAGGATTCTTTCTTGCTGGCACCCACACAGTATTTAAAATGAACCAAAGGATGACCTTTAGCAGGTCAGAATCTTTTATGGTCTCCCCCCCCCCAATTAAAACTAGAATACTTTGCATCTGTGATCTGTCATTTGTCGATGTGATATGTAGAGAACCAGAGAGATGATTTTGTGTTCAAGTGGGAATGTTGACTTTTTAATGCGGTCTTTTGCGAATTTTATTTTGGAATATTTGGGTTTAAGAGACTAGGAGCAAGCTTCCGAGTCTCTTATACCTCTTCCCCGACCACACAAAAACCAGAAAAAGAAGCAACTGATGCTTCAAGTTTGCTTCCACCTTTTCAAACACGTTGGCTTAAAATAAAAAAGTGTGAGTTAGGGACCCTTTGAACCCAACATCATGCAACTCCCAGCTTGATTCCCCTTTACTTTCAGATCATTCCCGTACCTCTCGCCATCAAGCAGGCGCCTGTATGTTTCAATTTCCATTTCCAGTCGGGTCTTGATACCCAGCAGTTGTTGGTACTCTGAATTTTGCATCTCTGTCTCAGACCTGATCTGCTGCAACTGCTCTTCAATGCTGCTCACTTGGTGCTGCAGCTGTGAGAGCTGAGTGCTGTAGTTGACTTCGGTTTCATGTAAGGTGCCTTCCAGAGAAGCTTTCTGTCGGTGGGAGAAATAAAGGAAGGCAGGGCTTGCTTACATGCTAATGAAGGTGAAAATTTTCATTCTCTCAGCATCCAGTGTAAAGTTCAGCTCCCCCAAAACTGAGGGTCGGTATATCTATTTTGTTTGTCCCTGGAAATTGCTGTACACATGGTTTTTTTGTTTTGTTTTGCTTTTGGGCATTTTATCAACCTAGTATCAAACATAAACGCAATCTGTATGATTCCCATTTGAAATGCAATGGCCAGACTTGAATTATGGACAGCAAACAGGGTAGGAGACTCCAGTTTCCCCTAGTAATTCTAAGCTACTCACCATGCTGTTCTAGGTATGTTTACTCAGAAGTACATCTCACTGTGAGCAATGGGGCTTACTCCCCTGTGAGGGTGCATAGGATTGCAACCTAAGATAGTTAGCTACGCTGCAATGGTTAGAACAATGTTTCCTAAACTTGGGCCTCTAGCTATTTTTTTGGGCTACAACTCCCATCCTCCTTACCTTGCAGGACCAGTGGTCAGGGACAGTGGGAATTGTAGTCCAAAAACAGCTGGAGACTCAAGTTTGGGAAACACTGGGTTATAGCATGGGTGGCCATCATGGTGACCTCTATATGTTGGGATTCTAACGCCCATCCGCCCCAGCCAACATAGCCAATGGTCAGAGATGATGAGAGTTGTAGTCCTGTCCAGCAACATCTGGCGACTGCCACATTGGCTACCCTTGGACTTCCTAGAAACTACAGACAGGTGTGGGGCTATAGAAGAGGAATCAGCATTTCTGATCCTGATGCAGTGCGTTGGATACTGGCAGCCAAGCATTTTGGGAGAAGCACCCTGCTGTTCTCTGAGCTTCTAGCATTCTGGGGCCTGCATTGATTTTGCTTCGAGGTTTCTACTCTCTATGATTGCAGCCTATAACTCCTCCTTAAACTATGAATCTGGAAGCAGTTTTCCCCCAATGACATTTATCTCAAAAGCCGAGCCCTCCAAAGAGAACTCAGTCTTCTTTCAATACCCTGCAGTCCAAGGAAGGAGATGCAAAACACATACCTTAGCCAGAAGGGATTGTAGCTCTATCTCCAACGCCTGGAATGAGCGTTTCAGCTCAATTAACTCGTTCCTGGCGGAGTTTGCTGCGCCGGCGTCATCGTAGATCTGTTGCTGCAGTGGTTGGCTCTGTGGGAGAAAAATCAATAAGATGTAACTTGGCACGAAATATTTTCCTCTTGTACAGAGGGCAGTCTTCTATTTGAAGGGCTGTCCAGTTCAAGCCCAGTTAAATGATAAACAAAATAGGAAGGGAGTTCATCAGGGGGCTTTGAAGTTGCCCATCAACAGTTGGCACTTGGTGAGTGGGCCATAGCTGTCAACCTTTCCCCTTTTTTAAGGGAAATTCGCTTATTCCGAATAGGATTCCTCGCAAGAAAAGGGAAAAGTTGACAGCAATGGAGTGAGCATGCAGATCACCTGGTCATAGCCTTTACCGCTATGGTGTGATGCATTGTTGCATTTGTGTTTACATTATAGGTATCATTTCTAAATTTACATATAAATTAGCCTATGCTGTTTGACATCAAATATGGGTCTTCTTTTTGCCCATTGTGGGGGAGGCAATGCACAACTGGTCACAACTGTGCTTCTGGCATGTAGGAATTTGATACAGATTCATTCTGTCCAGTATCACTGGTAAGGGGGGGGAGAGGAAGGATATGTTAATTCTGGTTCTCTCCCTTTCTCATTTTCCAATCCTAAATTCAGCTCTCCATATTTCTGCAGCAATTTGCAATTAAAAAAAAAACCCTCATGAAAATTCATCGGCATTTAATGTGTATTTCTTTGCATGAACAGGTTTTTGCATACATTGTTGAGTAATATACATGTTTTTGCAAACATTCCGCTAACAGAATACATTTTTGTATGTGAGGGTCATCTTGTGCACATTCTCCCCCACCCTCCCCTACGCATTTGTTGCAAATATTGCTTGATGCAACGCATCAAATAGAATTTGCTTTCAGCCCACCCATCTTACCATTTTGTGAAACTGTTCTTCCGCCTCTCTGCGATTTTGATCTGCGAGGTCTTCATATTGCGCCCTCATTTCGTTCAGCAGCTTAGTCAAGTCTACTCCTGGAGCCGCGTTCATTTCCACTGTGACATCACCCGTAGAGCTGCTTCTCAGCAAGTTAATTTCCTGGGGAAGAATATTAGAAGCAGGTTAGCTTGAGATGATGAAGCAGCGTAAAGTCAGTAAACAGTGATTCATCAGCTTCTTATTTAGAAGGACATCATCCACAGTAAAATTCGTCAAAATGTTCCAAACATTGTCTTTCTCTTCTTATGGTACCTCTGAGTATCGTGGTGTGTGGGGGGGTCCCGTATCCTCTGCAGTCAGTGTGTAAACGTGTCTTTATTACACAGGAAATGACTACAACAGCATAGGTTTTATATAGCATTTTTCGTTAAGTGCTCAAAAGGCTTCCTGGATTGAAAGTCTCAGCTGTTCCGAGCATAATGGCCTTTTATATATTTGCAATAGATGGCAGCCCTTCTTAGGCAGGTGCTCTAAGAAACCCCTTCCCAATCTCATGCTCTTCAGATGTTTTGGACTACAACTCCCACCATCCCCAACCATTGGTCATTCTCACCATTGACCATTGGCGTTGATGGATATTGTAGTCCAAAACATCTGCACTGAAGCACTGAAGCATTATCTGGTGAAGAGAGTATTCAGATCCTTCAGCAGGTCCTTCAGCCGAGCCAGTGCTCAATCCAATGACCTGATTTCAGTTTACTTGGGCTCTGTCCAGGTACTATGAATAATTGTGAAACCATCTCTCTGAGCATATGCACAAGGTATTGGGCTGTTCCCCTGTAACCCTGTAACTTGTACACCACCATCCTAAGTAGAGACAATGAAACAGCCACCTTAAGCTTTTCATGACAGCCAGTGCCATCATCTTCAGAAGTTGGTAAACCATTATCCTTAATTTTATTTTTCTTGGATTTGTTCCCAGGATAAATACCACAGAGAAAATGATCTGCATCTCATTTACCGAAACTAGCCTTAGGGCCTGGGAAGCTCTGAAGGAAGATCCATTCTCCCTGCCTGGCCCCGGAGCACCCACTAGGCATAAAGGAATCTAAGCAAGGGAAGGGTGTTCCCAAAGAACGGAGGGTTAATTGCAGGAGCGCCCGTCTCCATTCTAGTCTAAATATGCCAGCTTTACCTTACACAGTGAAGGCGTAAAACGATGCTCTGCCTATAGATTTTTTGGGGGGGAGCCCCAGCCTAAGCTACGGGGCCCACAGAGCCCTGTGCATCATAACTTTGTGTAGTAACATTGGACCACACAGGCACAGCGATGAGTAGACATTAGGAGAGAGCACACACTAATCATTAAAAAAATTTATGGCACAATTTGAACTTAATTTAGATAGTCATCTCCTGGTAGTTCAGATGGAGTCTTTGATAAGGGCGTGATTTCTCGTTTGTGCTCAAGAACAATGGTGTGATGTAACAAATGCGGTCAGAAACTGAAGGTGAGTGATGGAATTTATTCATTCTTTCTGCACGGTGATGTAACAGGATTTCATATCCGTATGGCATAATATGAACTAACCCAACCAATAAACATGGATGAAAAATCAGGACTCTGTGCTAGTCCCTGCTCGCTTTCCCAACAATTTCTGTGGAATTATTTCACAAGTCTTACCTCCTTGTCTTTACAATTACACTTCCGTCCTCCTGAAAGCTTTTGAAAGCCCACACCTGGTACTGTAAGAAGGGTTGTCTAAGCTGGTTTTAAGTAGTTTTTATTATTATTAAACTGTTCTTCTATTGACTTCATGCAAGAAGTTGAAATATTTGTGATGTTCCTCATTCTGAATCTTGGATTTAGGTGGACTATTATAATTGAATTAATTCTGTGGGGTAGGTTAGGCAGAGGTTGACTTGCCCAGGAGGTACTCTAGTAAGCTTTGGGGCTAAGTGAAGAATGAACTTGAGCTTCCTTTTGTCTAAACAAACGTTTTGATCTGCAGCAGTGTGCTAGGCACTTGTCCTGCATCCCAAAGACTCACACAGTCCTGCCTTTGGACTGGATTAGGGTGAAAGACTCCTGAAAAGGGGTGATGGTGGTGAAACGAAAGCTGGTTACCTCTTCGTGGTTCTTCTTAAGGTATGCTAGTTCCTCTGTGAGGCTTTCAAGCTGTGCTTCCAGGTCGGACCTGTTCATGGTCAAGTCGTCAAGCACTCTGCGCAGACCATTGATGTCTCCTTCAACACTCTGGCGAAGGAAGAGCTCGTTCTCAAACCTGAAAGGGGCAAGTGAGCATACAAAGCTATGAGATATATCGGGAGATGGCTCAGATTAGCCGCTTGTAAAGACAGCAAACAAAACGACAAGATCAGGATCGAAGGCGTTTGGAACGTTGTCATTCTTTATTGTGTTTCTTAACCGTCCTTCACCAGAAGGTCCTAAGGTGGGTTACGTAGCTTACACAAACACAATGAATGCAGCACAAAGACAGATCCTTAGCCCCATAGCCCTAAAGTCTGTTATAGTGAGCATATCAGTTCTTCAATTTTCAATGGCCAGAGTGAGGAGCTTAACTCAAGGACCCACAAGGGGTGCCAACTTCCTGGGGTCCTAAGCACCCACAAAATTCCCCACGAAGAGGCCGGGCACCCACAAATTTCAGTGCCGGGGCCATGCATGCTGCATGACACCCACGGCCCCGGGTACCCATGGTCACGGAGCCACGCTGGCACTCCTGCAAGAAAGTACACAGAAGGAGGGTTTTGCACCCTCTGAAGTCACCCCAAAATCCTTTATGGGAGTTTCCGAACAATGTGGGATGGTGCATGGAAGGCTGCTGGGAGCTGGAGGGGATTAGATAGATGTCCTGGTGAGATCCCTTTGGACTCTAAGATAATTACAGCAGATATTTACTAAGAGCCAGCAGATGAGTTGTTAGATCTGCACCTGGGAGGCAGGGCTTCAAAGCCCAGCTCGTCCCAGCACTGTTTTATTTCACTGGATTGAGACAAAAGCAAACAAACATTTGGGTTGGTAAAAGGTGGACTTGATATCATGTGTATCACTATAGTCTTACTGTCTCTAGCAGAAGAAGTAGCATTATGTATCTCTACTCATTTTTCTACATAGCTGATAATTACCAAATTCGCCCAGTTTTAACAGCTGCCCATCACAGACCATAGCATTAGAGGTGGGATTTTGATTTCCAACTTGCATTACATTATTGGTGAATTAAGTAGACCCCAATGACCCAATGCTACTGAAAGGAGTGGGGTGAAAAACTTAAGAACCAACATTTTGCTTTTTTTAAAAAAAGCGGAAAAGTTTTGCATTTAGCTTACTTCAGTCTGAAGTCATCAGCAGCCAGCCTGGCATTGTCAATCTGTAAGACTACATTGGCATTGTCAATGGTCACATTGACGATCTGGAACGAAATATTAAAAGAATAAAACAAGGTTATTTTGTGTGGGGAAAATGCCCACTTCCAGATTAACAGCTAATGCATTTTGTACATAATCAGGGTTGATTTGTAGAGTAGTGCAAATAAAAACTGACTTAAGAAAAATAAATCTCCCCAATGTTTTGAATACGAAGAATAAGAATAGACAATGTTAGCTTTTACAATTATTCAGCTAAAGCACTTGAATTTCATCTGAATTTCCCTTGTTACATGAACTTGATTATCAAACAAACAAACAAACCAAGACTAATTTGGCTTCTATTCCAGTCCTTCAGTTGAATTAATATGTGGACAAGACCTTTATCACTAACAGAAATAGGCACCAGTAATTCAGACTGTTATTGTTCTGAAGAAATGTCATTCATTAGAGTTTTAAATGACTGGGCACCCCATCCTGCTTAAGCAGATTGAGGCTTGTAGCTCAGGATTGTAACCATGTGCTTCACTTGTAAAAAATGTCCCTGAGTTCATTTTCTGGTATCTACAGGTAAGGCTCCTCTCTAAAGCCCGGAGAGCCAAAGCTACTGGCTTGCCTGGACCAATGAAATGACTGGGCATAAAGCAGCTTTCTATGCCTATGCCAGTTTCATCCCATTATAATTTTGCATTTGGGTTCCTAGTCCTGAGAAAGAAAGAAAAACCCTCCATGTCGAACTTTCCCCCTGATTCCACTACATACATATATGAGTGATAAAACAGGTAAAGCAATTTTTTAAAATTCGCCATCTTGGTCTGCTTACTTTGGTATACAGTCATATATATGCACATTTTTTGTACACAATTGGCTCCTCCAATGCCACTTTAACAAGCTGTACAGAATTGCAGGGGAGATGTCCAATAGCAAATCCCTCACACAGATTCCATTCGTTTAGGTGTGACTTAGGGGATGCTTCTACCCAGCGTTGGTTTCCTCACCTGGTTGCGCAGATCCTCAATGATCTGGTGATATTTGCTGTAATCGCGGGTCACTCCAGGAGCCCCGGGCCCATTCTTCTCATACCAGTGGCGGATCTTCAGCTCGAGCTCGGCATTCGCCTCCTCCAGAGAGCGCACCTTTTCCAGGTAGTTTGCCAGGCGGCTGTTGAGGTTCTGCATGGTCTCCTTTTCAGCCCCAGCCAGGAAGACGCTGTCGGCCCCTCCATAGCCACCGCCCAAGGACACTGCCGAGCTGGAGCGGTAGCTGGCTCCGTAGCCACCGCCTCCCACAGAGGCACTACCAAAGCCAGCCCCGCCACCAAAGCCAGACCCCCCGCCGAAGCCAACTCCGCTTGCAAAGCCAGGTCCACCAAACCCACCGCATGCCGGCCCTCCATAGCCACTGCCTAGAGCGACCATGGACCCCCCGCCAAAACCGTACATACTGCCTCCTCCAACGCTGCCCATTTTGGCACCTCCGTCCCCACTGACAAAGGAAGAAATTCTCCTCGAGGAGGTTGATATCCGAGTAGACATGTTAGCTGAGGGATGCCAAAAAGCAGTGAGGAAAAGGCGAAGGAGAGTCAGGAAAGACAGACAGACAGACAGGCAGTGTGCTAACGGGGCGGTTTCCTCTGCCTTTTATATATAGGGTTGTGAGGGTGTTGCTTTTGTAATGCCTCCTACCTGTGGCATTTATTTTTTTCTTGTCAACTCAGCGGATCTCAGTTTCAACAGCTTTTCATCCCTGCCTCCCCCCTCTCCTAATTCAACATGGTGTCCATTTGCAGTTTGGTGCCTCAAGGGCGTTTGTTATGCCGGGGGGTGGAGTAGGGTGGAACAAAGTTAAAAATTCATTACGATATTGTAATTGTGGATGAGTAATTCTTCTCTCCTTCATCTCCTAGACCCCTAGGCATAACGCTCTGTGTTCCCAGAGTGAATCTCTAGGTGACAGGCGCTTGTTTGTATGTCTTGTCATTCACTTAACAGCACTTCTGCCGGACCTCAGAGTTTGCCTTACAGCCACAATTTTTCTCTTTGTGTGGAGGGAATATCTGCTCTAATGGGATCATGTTCTCTTTTGCTTCGTTCAACCTTTTGCTTCGTTCACGCTTACCAGTAGCAACCCCCTGCTGCCGAAGGAATATGGACATGGAAGGCTTCTCATTGTAAAGACTCTTCCACACTTCTGGACTTCTTATAAAGCCTCTCCAAACATCTCTGAGGCGCAAAATATCCTGAACTGAGGGACACAATGGGCTGCATCCAAGTAACTTCTACTCAGAGTAGACCTGTTGAAATGAACAGACCCAAGCTAGTCATGGCCAACAACTTTCAGCAAATCTGCTCTGAGTAAAAGTTTAACACAACCCAATGTGGAGCATCACCCATTATCATTAAAAATGGCAAATGAATGCCCACTTGCTGTTTCTTATGGGGAGTTTCTGCAAGATGGGGGGCTTCTGTGGCAGAGCTGGGAGGTACACAATGGTGTTTCACCCACAGCACAGAAAGAGCTGTTTTGCTTCCTTTCTGCATACCTGTAAAAAGTTATGTGACATAGAAGGTGGAGGAGAGTCATTTTTCAGCTGGAATGTATGTGCTCTCTGCTCAATGTAGGTATGATGTTTGAAGTGCAGATATGAAAAGTGGGTAAACAGATGTTTGCATCCTGTGCAAAAATGCTCCAAGAGGCATGCCTATGGCCCTCATGGAAAAGAACTGTGACTACACATTAAAATTGTGGTTTTCTTGAAAAGTGCAGCTCTGAGAAATAAGTTCTGTTAACTTCAGTGGGACTTATTCCCAAGTAAAAATTTACAGTCTTAAGTTTAGTTTTCCATATTTTCACATCAGTTTGTGTGTGTGCATTTTTTTTTAAAAAAAATGCACCAGCTTTTTAGTGCAAACTTCTCATAATATGCATGTTTTTATGCGACTTTCCATAGTATAACATTTATGGAAAATAATTTCCTTCAATATAATGCATTTTTGTATGTTCTTTTCACAAACATGTGCATTTTTATGCACACTATTGCCTCATTTGCATTTTAATACACGTTACTTGGTTAGAGAACTGCATTGCAAAATTCAGAGAAATGTGAATTTCGATAAGACTACTGCAGTTTGGTTCATGTATTTTTTCAGAAAGTGCATGTTTGGTGGGTTCGCCTTAAAATGCAAAGACTCTCCTCCCTGGAAGAGAGGGGAGTGGTTGTGGGCGGGAGACCGAGCTCCGCCCCTGGTAGGGGGCCTTAGCCCCCTCCCCTCCTTACCTGGCTGGCGCCCACGCCCACCGGAGGCAGCCAACCAGGCGGTTAGGCATTGGATTCATGTGTTGTGCTGTGTCAAGGGCTAGGTGTGGCCATCGCCTATGCTATCTACCGTGGGTTATTCCGTTAAAGGAATCTGGCGGTCGTGTATTCCGTCCGATGCCTGCTTGGCGGGAGGCCATGGCACGACCCTCGGTGACATCAGGGGGTGAGCCTATAGTTGGATTGGCATCAACAGGCTCCACCTACTGTTGAATAAACCCACCTCCTATAGTCATCCAATGCCTAAGCCAATACCTTTTCACTGCTGTAATCAATAAAGTTGTGGCCTTTCCTTGCCCATTAACCTTATATCACGTGTCCTTGTGTATTTATTTCACATAGCGGGGGTCGGGCCCTCGATCCACAAACGGAAACTACATTTTCTCTCCATCCCTACAGCACAGTCTTATGCATCTTTCCTTGGATTCAAGTCTCAATGAGTTCATTGGGACTTACTCCCAAGTATATGTACACAGAATTGAAGCCCCCCACCCCACCCCAGATTTGCTCCTGGGGCACATGTTCCATGGGGAGTTAGGGACGACGCTCCTTTGGAACTGGAATATTGTGAAGGCACCCAAGAGCTGTTCACTCCCTAAAAACGATAGGAAAGCTGCAAGCGTCTGATGTTGGCTTCATTGTTTTGTGAGTGCCTCAATGGACATGGGAGTCCATGGTGAATATTTGGAGCAACACAAGGGCAAAACATTGAAGACTAAGCAAACCAGATTAAGGAAGTCCTTTTCAGTGGAGAGGTACGTAGCTGGCAGCAGCTATTGCACTAGATCAGTGGTTCTCAAGCTGTAGGTCCCCAGATGTTGTTGGATTACAACTCCCACCATCCCTGAGCTCTGGCCTTGCTAGCTAGGCGTGATGGGAGTTGTAGTCCAACAACATCTGGGGACCCACAGGTTGAGAAAGGCTGCACTAGATGAACTTTTCTAACTTTACAATTCCATGATTCTATGTTCCTCTTACACTAATGCTCCTCCCTCCACTGTGGGAGACGGCATGCCACGGAATGCTACCTGCTGGGAATCAGAAGGACGGAGAGTAATGTTGCAATTGGGTTCTCCTTGTGGGTTTCATACATGGATCTGGCTCCCCATGGTGAGGACAGGATGAGCCTCTTGCCTGAGCCAGCTCAACATTTCTTATGTCCTTACGAACTGCAAACCTTACCGTACATCAAGTTAAATTAGATTTACCGCTTGAAGATGCGGCACAGCAAGTGAGCTGGCAGCATCAGAAGGACGGCATAAATTCAGATTAATTACTCGTAATGATTCCACGTGGAATAACTGGGCAGTGCGTTCTTTTTAGACCTCAACGTTTTCTTTACATACCCCACTTGTTTCAGGGAAGTACAGGAGAGCCACACATTTGTGTGAAAGAGAGTTATGGACTCTTCTTCACTGGAGGTCTTTAAGCAGATGCTGGATGGACATCTGTCATGGATGCTTCACCTGGGATTCCTGCATTGCAGGGGGCTGGACTAGATGGGCCTTGGGGTCCCTTCCAATTCTACACTTCTATGATTCTCTGATTTTTCTCACAGCAGATTGCCCACTTGGAACTTAACTAGGTGAGATCAAGAGCAAAATCCTCAATGGAGTCGAATTCCCAGTTGCTACAGAATCAAAATAGGTGATGCTCAGGGAAGTGATTGTTTTACTTTTCTGTTTTACTTTCCGTTTGATAGTTGCCCTGGACCCCTTCCTAAGTGGGAAAGGGAGTTTAAAAAACGCTCCAAAAAATTGCCCCTGATGTGGCAGTGATACTTTAGACCCGTGTGATATTCCAGCAGTAGTGCATTCCCACTCTGACCCACAAGGATCTGCAGGAACATTGTGTACATTATGTACACTTCCCACAGCTTGGATGCCAGGCCATAACAGCCTTTCTTAATTTATTTGTATTAAAGTGTGACTGAGTTTGATCACACTGGATATTTAAACCCAAGGATTATCAATAGCTTAAATAACAAAACACAGTGGAGTTTCTTTTTCTACAATGGCAGCGCCCATTCTTTAGTAGCAGGAGTAGCGGAGAAATACCTTGCTGTTTTGAATTTACAAATGGATTTCTCAATGTGTCTCCTTTGTCGCTTGTTGCCTACTTCAGAAAGCTTGTCCCCCTCATTTTTCCCTAGCATTTTCTCCTTCACATGTCATTAAATTTAAGCACAAGCCAATCCTGTGCCCGCTTCTATGTGTTCCTAACACTAGCTGTGAAAGAAAACCTCTTAGAAATTTATTCAGCGGTACCTTGGTACTCAAACAGCTTGGCTCCTGAACAAATTGGCTTCTGAACGCTGCAAACCCAGAAGTGAGTGTTCCGGTTTGTGAACATTTTTCGGAAGCCGAACATCTGACGCAGCTTCTGCTTGAGTGCAGGAAGCCTTGGTTTTCGAACCGTTTTGGGAGTCAAATGGATTAAGTTCGAGAACCAAGGTACCACTGTATTTTAAGCAGTGTGGTGAAGATATAGGCTTCTACAATAGAGTTATGCCCAGTGTTGTGGTATAATTTTAGACTCTGGAGTTAACAGGTTTTGTGAGCAGCTGTGCTGGGTGTGTGTTTTACAGATGGTAATGCCTATTGCTTCAATCACTTGACAATGTAGTAAGATAGTCTTGCTGTGTTTGGCTGCTCTTTCTGCTGTGTGGTGCCCTAGACTTTGTCACTGAGCACCCTCAAAATCCCGCACTGATGGCACCACTAGTTATATCAATATCCCATGTAGCTCAGAATTCTCAGAATTACGCTTCAGCTCAGGCGTGAGAATCATTTGCCCTGCCAGATGTTACTGAACTACAACTCCCATCAGCTGCAGCAAGCACGGCCAATGGTTAAGGACGATGGGAGTTGTAGTTCACCATCACAGAATTGAAGAGTTGGAAGTGGTCCCGAGGGTCATCTAGCCCAACCCTCTGCAATGTAGGAATTTCAACACACTGTGCCCCATCCAGCTTGAAACCATACCAGACCCTGCTTTACTTTGCAAATGTGCTAGCAGTTTTACAAAGGATCCCCACATCTGCTTTAGCTGGAGCTCCTGTGGGATTGTTATACAGAGTAGGTAGGGATGGAGGAGAAATTCAGATTGGTTCACACTTTATTTTTGTAATTTTCACTTCCTGAAAAATATTTATGCATGAGCTGAAACACAGCTACCTTTCAAAATTCACACTTCTCTGAATTTTGAGATGCAGTTCTCCAACCCAGAAATGTGTATATTGGGGAAAACCATGCAACATAATACATATATTAGTGAAATTAATGTACAAAAGTGCATTCAGGAAATTTGCTTAAAGAAAGATGCGTGTGTTTGGTAAACTTGCGTACAAAAATGCATATTTTAGAAGCAATGTACACCAAAATGCTGGCACATTTTCATGAGGACTTTTGTTTTGTTTTTTTAAAAAAATACAAACTGATGTAGAACTATGGAAGAACTGGATTTAAGACTGGAAGAACGAGGAACGAAAAGAAATTGATATTGACAGATTTGTTCATCTGTAATACTTCTGCTGGGAAAACAACACAGAGAAGAAAGAGCTTGCACCCTCTCCCTCATACCACATGCCTGGTCTGGGTTATTATTGTTATTTTGGGGGGTTTGGACACAGCTTATTTTTGTGTAGGAAAAAAGAGGAGACAGTTGTAAGCATGCCCTTTTAAGCATGCACTTAACAGAACTCTTCATTGCATCCTGCTGGTGTTTCGAGTCTACTCATAGTCCGTCTTGCCAAAGTGAATGCTGTCATTCCACCCTGATTAGTTTCTCCGCCCCCATCAAAGGTGGTTACTGACTTGATTGCAAAGTTGTACGATAAGAGCCATGTTCTGACTCAACTGCAGTTGTTATTATAATCGGGTCTCTCCCCCCCACTAGAGATTAAACCAGCCGCTCGGCATCTCGCCAGTGCCGAACTCTTTAATGTGGTTGCCTGTACTGTGAGAAAAAGCCTAGAGCGAAGGAGGGAGAGGATTTTAGCAACAGCATCTCCACCGGTTCACTAGGGAGCAGTATTGGCGCATTAAAGCCAATCCTTTCCTGAAACTGCGAACATTTCCTTGGGTTCTGTGGGCTGACAGATTTGTGCTTATTATAATTTGGCACAGAGATCATTTGAATTAGGCTATCACAACAAATTATGCAAAGCCAGCATTTGCTTATTTTTCAGAAACTTGTTCCGGGTTTTTTTTTTCTTTTTGTGGGGCAAGGGGTTTCCGATAGGTTGCTCTTTCTTGCTTCCTGATGGGAACATACAAGACCATTCTTGTATTTCGGAAATTTGTTCAACTTGCAGATGGATTTTTGTGTCCTTCTTTCCAATTCACACCAACCCCACTGGTTTTGTTCTTGAGACAGGTATGAGATTTTTTTTTTAAAAAAAAACCCACTGAAGTTTTACTGAACTCTTCTCACAAAAAAAGCAAACAACGAAATTGCCTTAGTAACACCAAAAATAGGGCAGACAATGATTCAGCACAGAAAATTCATTAGCATCCTGAAATTGCAGGTCTGGCTGAAACTATTGAGTCCAACAAAAAGGAAAGATGAGACTTTCAGAGGCTGGAGCATCTAATCTTTATTATGAGCATTACACAATAAATTGAAACCACATCTCAGAGAACTTGCCTTTTGCTTCTTCCTCCCCTTGCTTCCTGGCAGTTTTGAGTCCACTTCTTACTAAGAGGCAGGCCTTTTTGCATACCAAGCATTGAAAGAGAGGTCACAAGACCCTTCATTTGATGTACAATTTCTAATCTAGCCACCAGGAGCAGCTCCAGCATCAGACCTCTGTGGACCAGAGTCTTATTCACCCCTTTCCTAAAGATAGCAAGCAGAGATGGGATGTAGTGTTCTGCAGATCCACAGTCTCCCCAGAAATGGCCGTGGGACACCCTGGCCCTGGCCCTTCCCCACTTGGAGCGCCACTGGTGGTGGATCAGCACTAGCTGCCAAGCTTTCCATGGCTGCCTTGGAGGGCTCTGACCCTGGGCCTTGTCCTCTGTATGCAGACCTCTCTTTCTGCCTGTCGAGAAGGAAACTTGCAGGATCCAACTCTCCCTCAGACACCTTTTCTGAGAACTTTGGCTCGTTATAATTAACAGAAGATGTTAACTATGAGAACAGCCTTTTGCTCCTGTTCTGGACCAGGGCCAATAAACACTAATTAACTGTATCCCTTCGACAGGCACATGTTGGTTCACATCATCACAATTATTTCATTTGAAGAATAGAATTGTAGTGTTGGAAGGGGTCTCAAGGGTCATCTTGCCCAACCTTTTAGGAGAAGGAGAGCAAGCTGTGGTCTTGCTCTCTGTTGTTTTCTCATGCCTTAAAAACATGTCCCAGGAAGCCCTTCACCAGACCCTTTTGGGATTGTGTAAAAATATCTTTCTGACACTTTCCCTTTTGCCTTTCTTTTACTCTATTCCAAACTTAAAAATGGAAAGCGTAATGCTGGTGGTCAACAAAAGAGGTTGAAAGACTCTCTCAAGGCAAATCTTAAAAAATGTTGTATGAATACCGACAACTGGGAAACACTGGCCTGCGAGCGCTCCAGTTGCAGAACAGCCTTTACCAAAGGTGTGATGGGCTTTGAAGACGCTTGAACTCAGGACGCAAGGGAGAAATGTGCTAAGAGGAAGGCACGCTTGGCAAATCCACACCGTGATCAGCTCCTGCCCAAAAACCTATGTCCCCACTGTGGAAGGACGTGTGGATCCAGACTTGGCCTCCACAGTCACTTACGGACTCACTGTTAAAACCGTGTTTATGGAAGACAATCTTACTTGGCTACAGGTGATCGCCAGAGAGAAAGGGCCACAGTTGGGTGTGACCTGTGTTGTAACAGTGGCTACCGGAAGCCCAGGATTTTTACAGATGACAGAACTGCTGCTTTGGCAATTGCTTTTGAGGAAGATGCTTCATTATAACTAAGCCAATGCATGCGAAATTGAAATGATCACATTTTCTCTTCCTACCTTCCCTTCTTCTGTTGTCTCCCTGGGTCTGTTTCAGATTCCAATCTCCATGTCTCTAGTCTTTGCAGAGTGCCACATAGCTAAGTGACACTTTAAAGGTAAAGGTACCCCTGCCCGTACGGGCCAGTCTTGACAGACTGTGGGGTTGTGCGCCCATCTCACTCAAGAGGCCGGGGGCCAGCGCTGTCCGGAGACACTTCCGGGTCACGTGGCCAGCGTGACAAGCTGCATCTGGCGAGCCAGCGCAACACACGGAACGCCGTTTACCTTCCCGCTGGTAAGCGGTCCCTATTTATCTACTTGCACCCGGGGGTGCTTTCGAACTGCTAGGTTGGCAGGCGCTGGGACTGAGCAACGGGAGCGCACCCCGCCACGGGGATTCGAGCCGCCGACCTTTCGATCGGCAAGCCCTAGGCGCTGAGGCTTTTACCCACAGCGCCACCCGCGTCCCCAAGTGACACTTTATTGATACGTAAATGTAAAAGGAGCCTGCTAGGTCAGCCCAAAGGCCCATCTAGCCCACCATTCTCTTCCTACAGATGCCTATGGGAAACCCACAAGCAAGACCCAAGCACGAGAGCACTCTCTTCTCCTGTGGCAACTGGCATTCAGAAGCAACTGTAGAGGTGCGTAGAGCATCACCCTCATGACCAGTAGTCATTGATGTGGAGGCATCCTAGTGCTGCATATGCTACTAAGCCAAGCAGCAACGTCAATGCCATTTGGTGAAACGAGTAATATGGAAATTTGCATTACAGGCTTGGCTGCTCAATAGTATTTTGTATTGGAATTATGTCATGGTGGATGGGGTTGCCATGCATATGCTGGCATTTGTCACTGTGAACACCATGCAGTGTGAAGTGTTAGTCTCCATGACTCCCCCGTTGCAGAGACGGCTCTCCCGTTCACTCTTTGCAGCAATTACATGGTGCACAAGTAACAGCTGTAGAGACTCTGCAAAGCTTCCGCTTGGCTTGGAAAGTGTTCGTGATTTAAGTATGCAGTGTTACAGGATGTTTTAGATCAGGGGTCAGCAAACTTTTTAGCAGGGGGCTGGTCCACTGTCCCTCAGACCTTGTGGGGGGCCGGATTATATTTTGGGGGAAAAATATGAACGAATGCCTATGCCCCACAAATAACCCAGAGATGCATTTTTAATAAAAGCACACATGCTACTCATGTAAAAACACACTGATTCCTGGACCATCCGCGGGCCAGATTTAGAAGGCGATTGGGCCAGATCCGGCCCCCGGGCCTTAGTTTGCCTACCCATGTTTTAGATGTCTGCTTCTACTTTTACTAAAATGGCCTGTCCACTCCATACCAGTACTGAACATGCTCAAGTGCACAAATGGGCTTGTGGGTGTGCTACTTGTCAAAATATCTGCCACCTGTTCAGTTCTCCCTGAATTTAAATACTCAATGGATCCTGTGTCTTGGGCCAAACATAGCTAAGGATTTAAAGGAATTAGTAAGTATCTGTTGACACCACAGGGCCAAACTACACACTATTTCAATCACATGGTTTGCCCTTAAATGTAATATTTTCCCTATTACCAATACTAGGCATGAGGCTTTAATCCAGATTGGGACTCTGGCATGGGGTTAAGGGGACTTTAATTCTTTGCAACTTCCACTGTGATCTTGATCCTTTGGTGTTACAAGAGAAAGGAAAAACCCTGCACTTAAGGGCTAGCCTCGTGCTTAATGTTAATTAGTTTGGTGTTAATAGTGATCAGAGAGAACTATTGCTTGGGCAAGGAGGAAGGGTTGCCTCTCTCATGGTGGCTGTGCAGAGATCATCTCTATGCTTGCATGTGCTTGTTTGTAGATAAAATTAATGCACACTATTAAAACACTGAGCTTCTTACTGCCCTTCATGACTTCAGTAAGAGAATGTTGGAACCGCGTGAAACTAGGTATGGTATGCAAACAGTAAAAAAAGGTTTATTGAACTACCACAGCTAAAAGAAATCAGGATTTCAGAATGCGCTTTGATGACTTGTTTTAAAAAAGAGAGGAAAGAAGTGAGGGACTTCTAGAAAGAGGCTTTTCTAAAGAAGAAATGATTTCTCTTGAAGGCTTCCTTTCTTGCTGCTCTGCCATGACATGGGAAAAAGGGATTCTTGATGGTTATTTAGTCGGCTTCTCTTCGACTGATTTGACCTGGGATGAAACGACTCTGCCATCAACCATTTCTTCCACAATCGTCTTAACCATTCTTGTTTTTGTCGACTCTGGATTATTTTTTTTAAAAGAAAGAAAGCAAAATTAAAACATAGTGTTTCAACAAGGCTTCATAGCAGGTCCTTGACGTGCTTTGCATGATTGCTTCTCACACTCCCATTTTTATACAATCAGATAATAATCAAGCACCCAAGATAGGGCCTGATTTGCATCCTCAACTGGGAAAACTGGGTTGCTGCCAATTCCCTAGAATGTGGGTTGATGGGAGTGAATTTGAGGTGCAAGACGACCTTCCCTACCCACCCATTTTCTGTTCCCCAAATGGCTTCTCCACAACTGTCTTTCTCCTTGCAGGCTCTTGGTGGGGGGAAGTTGACCTCCAGCCACCGGTGTCACTGCAGCTTACATGGAGGGATGGAGCAGGGTTGGGCTGTGTGGTTGAAGCCACGTGGACACACCTGTAGGAGCACCAGATCGGAACAATGCAGCCCTGAACTAGCTTTTGCACTGCCTGAACCCCATCTAGGTAAGTGGCAGCAACATTGGCGTCAGCAGGGAGGCTCCAAGACTAGGTAACTGATGGACACTGTCACACATCAACAGGGAAGTGGGGTTATGCCTGTGGCCACCTCCCTCCTGCTACACCCAGGTTGCATGGCCCTCCCTGACAGCCACATGTTTTGCCCTTGTGGTCTATGGTTACTGCTGACCATAGATGTCCCCCATGTGACATTGGCTTGGGCTGTGGACACAGAGTTGAAGAAAAGATGGACCCACAAGAAAGGGCTGTAGTTCACCTGCTTTGCTAAGAGCGAACTGGAAAAGCCTTGCATAGTTTGGGGGACTAAGAGAGGCGATGTATTGTTGAAATGTGGGAAAGAGGCAGGCAAGGAAATTTGGGACACAAGGGGGGAAACGGGCGGGGAAAGAGGGGGTGCTTTCATGCATCGGTGAGAAGTTTGCAGTCAGACCTTCAGCTCTGTGCATTTTTAATGTATATAAAGATATCTGTCATTACCTTTGCCAGAGCCTCCGTAACTCATAGAACTACTGTGGCTCGAAGATCCATAAGACCCAAAACCACTGTCAAGGAAAAAAATGTAAGTTTTTTTTAGTGGTATACTGTGCATCATTTTTCAGAGAGAATGTAAACATGACCACCAATTTATTACAGTCAGGTAATATAATGTGATGATAATCAGCTCCAGGGGTGCCAACTTGAATAAAATATTGGGGAGGGGGGGCAGAAGAGTCCCGTCCTGCATAATCAATCATGATATGTGGGGGGCAATACCCATCAATTTGGTGGCCCCTCGAATATTTTCGAATTTTGACCAACGTAGGTCTTCCTCTGCATTTTGCACAGGTAGATATTTAGAATCACCTCCAGCTCTGCAAGCTTTCTAAATACAAGTGCAATCTGGTCTAATTTAACAAATGGCGGGTTTCCCATTCAGTACAGTAGAAGTGAATGCATCCATATTATGCAAGTTGCTATTGTGAAGCTACTGTCCTTTGGTCAGATCTACAGGGCCTCATAATTGGTTCTGAGTCAGATCTGTCTGTCTGTCATGTCTAACGCTTACCCCCCTTCTCCGTCCAGTAGGCGGCGGTAGGTCTCTATCTCCTTCTCCAGGCGTGTCTTGATGCCTAACAGCTGCTGGTATTCTGCATTCTGGTTCTCCATCTCAGCCCGAATCTGCAGAAGCTGTTCCTCTAAGCCAGCGATCTGACCCTGTAATTGCGCAAGCTGGTCGCAGTAATTTCGTTCTGTTTCCGCCAAAGTGCCTTCCAGGGATTGTTTCTGTTCCGAAGGTGCAGAGGAAGGAAGAAAGAAAAGGGCGTAAAAATGCAGCAAAATTAACAGAGATGAAGTTCCAGCAAAGAAAATGATTATTCTAAACACTCCCGTGGGTTGAATCCAATAAATAGCATAATGTTGTATCCACCAAAGTCATTGGGGAAGCGGAATGACGTCTGTTTGTGTGGTGGAATTTCTGCTATCTCTTCTTCTGCATTGCCCCCCTGCAAACTCTGCTCTGGAGGGTTGGGGACACCCCCAGAACAGATTGGGAGGATGTGCAGGGTGAAAATATGGGGAGGAAAGGGAGGGGAAGTTCTGTTGTGCAAGCGGAAGTCCTTCCACTCACGCAGTGACTTCCACTTGAAACAGCCCTGTGAGAACTCTGCTTCTTTGGAATGATCAAAAGCCAAGAGAAGAAGAAGAGTTTGGATTTGATATCTCTCTTTATCACTACCCTAAGGAGTCTCAAAGTGGCTAACATTTCCCTTTCCCTTCCTCCCCCACAACAAACACTCTGTGAGGTGAGTGGGGCTGAGAGACGTCAGAGAAGTGTGACTAGCCCAAGGTCACCCAGCAGCTGCATGTGGAGGAGCGGAGACGCAAACCCAGTTCACCAGATTACAAGTCTACTGCTCTTAACCACTACACCACACTGGTTGCTTTGTGCTTCTGTATCTTTTTAACACAGGCCAGCAGATTTATAAGACTAACACAGCAACCCCAGACATATTTGCTCAGAGGGAGATCCCATTAGGTTCAATGGGGCTTACTCTCACATAATAATAATAATAATAAATTTTATTTATATCCCGCCCTCCCCAGCCTTAGCCGGGCTCAGGGCGGCTAACAACAATAAAACGGTACAATAAATGGGTATAGGATGGAAGTCTAAGTAAACTGCAGACATAACCCAAATTATGTGCCCCCCTTCTTGCATCTAGATTACATTTCCTGCAGACATTGCGCAAAGCACCCCAAATGCAATGGCAAGAAAACATCTAAGTGGCTTACAAAAAGATGAAATAAAATATTGAAATTCTTGATAAAAACTGCTAACCCCCCCCAAGTATTTTAAAACTTTTAAAAGTTGTTTGAAACCAACAACAGCTAGACAGAGATAAAACACGTGTAACTTCTACATGTCTGGATAGCTTTGCCTAAGCATAGTCACAGAAAGAATACAGAGAAGACACCTGTCTGGCGTCAATAGGCAGGGAGTTCCAAAGTTCCACACTAAAAGATCAATTTCTTACCACTGTGGAATGGGTATTATATGTGGCACCTGTAACCGTGTCAGTTCTGCAGATTGAAGCGACTGAGTGGGCATATATGCTGCTAAGGGCTAAAACCTTGAACTTGGCCTGGTAGCAGATGGACAACCAGTCCAGACCTCTGAGCAGAGGCGTCACTATGCAGACAGGGTCTCCCTGCTGAGAGCCAGTGCGGTGTAGTGGTTAAGAGTGGTGGACTCGTAATCTGGTGAACTGGGTTCGCTTCCCCGCTCCTCCACATGCAGCTGCTGGGTGACCTTGGGCTAGTCACACTTCTCTGAAGTCTCTCAGCCTCATTCACCTCACAGAGTGTTTGTTGTGGGGGAGGGAAGGGAAAGGAGATTGTTAGCTGCTTTGAGACTCCTTAAGGGGAGTGAAATGTGGGATATCAGGTTCAAACTCTTCTGCTGTTGGCAACTGTTCTGCAGCATTCTGAGCCAGGTGACTCCTCTGACGAAGGTTCTCCTTTTCCTCCTACACATGTTGACGTGATGATGGCTCATTATCGCTTTGGGATGGCTCAATATATGGATCAGCTCAGCAGGAGTGCTGAAATACCATTCCAGTATTTGCTGGAAGGCTTGCAAAACAAGCTGCGGTGCCCAACGGTGGCGTCTCTCACTACATGGGAATTGGCACGCCCGGTTCTAAAGAACACAACACCATATTTCAGAGGTGCGGTGGATGGGGAAAACAGGGGGAATGCAGCTTTGGGACTCCCCCCACCCCCAGCAGGATAATGAAAGTCTGGATAATAGTAGCATATAGATGGATGAGGAAAAGAGTCCAACTGCTTCTTCTCTTAGATGGGATTCCGAATTCCCGCAAACGATGACGCTTTTTGCAGGACTGCTTGCGTTTCTAACGGAAAGCGAAAGCTTGCAGTTCAGTTTTGTTGCAGTTCAAGTTGAAATCATTCTTTGGGCATCTATTCTGTGCCTATCAAGCGACTCCAGTAAACTGAGCATTATAATGTACTGCTGTTCTAGGAGGGGGGAGTGTGGGTGCATCCATGGACTCTTTGGGTCCCTTCCAACTCTATGATCCTATGACTTACCTCCTTATCACGGGAGAGATCTTGAAAGCAGCCTAATGTACACAGCTGTAGCACAAACCCTCTGAAAGAACTCCTCCTGCTGCTGTGATCCACTTACCATGGCAAGCTGAGCCTGCAGTTCCAGTTCCAGGCCTTGCAGCGTGCGCCTCAGATCCGTAACTTCACTCTTGCCCGTGCTCAGCTGGTCCACGTTGGCCGATATCTCCTGCCTCAGAGCTCCAACCTGGAAGACCAAGGAGAAGAAGTATTAAGTGGGCTCAATAACCGGGCCATCGCCGAAGGTTTTAGGCGGAGTTCAGAACCACCCTTGCCTGCTTGTTGAACTGCTCTTCTGCCTCTCTCCTGTTCTTGTCCGCGAGCTCCTCATACTGGGATCTCATCTCGTTCAGTAGCTTGGTCAGGTCAATTCCGGGAGCGGCGTCCATTTCGACGTTGACGTCTCCGCTGGTTACCCCTCGGAAGCTCATCAGTTCCTGCAAGAGAAGCCCAGTGGGTGTAGCATGAGCCAGACCATGAAAAGGCAACAATCCCTGGTGATGGAATAGTATCCTCCACCACAGTGGAGGCAGCAGGCTAGTTTAGCAGAACAGGTCATGTGCATCCACAGCTCTGCCATCTAACAGAGGGGAATGGCTCAGAGGAACAACAGGGGTAGGGACGCTGCTGCTATTCGCCCCACAAGTTGCCTCACTCTGCCTAACTGTAGGGCTGGCTCTGAAAGTAGGGTTGACATATTCCCAAAAGTTGAGCTTTTGGGGGGAACATGTAAAATATTTGGATTTTTAAAGCATTTTTCTTAAAAAATCACCCTAGTTGCCATACGTTCGGGTTTTCCTGGATATTTTGCCAATTGGGCAAAAATCCACCCAGACACCATTTTGACAGTCCAATTCCCAGATGTGTCTGGCAAAACCTGGACGCATGGCAGCCATACCCTGAAAGCAAGCAAACTTTCCCATATGGTAGCAGTCTGAGACCACTTTTAATGCATTCTGAATTGTCTCTGTCTCAGTGTGAGCTCATTTGACCGCTAGGTGGCAGATGCACCTGAGATTTTGGAATTTTCCTTGTCTTAAAAATAAAAACATTAGGAGAGCCTTTCCCCAACTCCCTTTGGTAAATCCGGTCAGCACTGCATATATTTCTAACCACTTCGAAGCAATGCATTTGTTTATTTTAATGTAATTTTGCCATCTTCACTAATAATACAGTGCAGTTTCTCTAAAAGCAAGATTTCAAAATAAGAAGGCATCCTTCTTCCCTTTAGATGAACAGCTTCTTGCTCTGTCTCTCTGTTTTCCTTTCGCCACTGATCTGCCCCACACATCATGCCTGGGTTGAGTGAGGTTTGCATTGTCGGCCCTGTTTCTCCCATATGACTTGGTGAGGCTAAAACTATTTGCTTCCAGGGTCGGGGTGTCAGAGAATTCCAATGAAAACAGAACTGGGAGTGTAAATGGCCAATGTTCTCTTACTTGTTGGAAATCCATCTATCATATGGAATTGATTACGCCCAATTTGTATAGTTTTTCCTTTGCATTGAAATGAACATGGTGGGATAACACAATGACAATGCAATTTATGTCAATTAATAATCCCGCCATGGTGGATCAGGAGATGAATAATGTAGTTTGGGGTGGAAGATGAACTGCAGCAGAAAGGAAACAGTGCTGTGTGCGACAAATGCAAGGTGGAATTGGGAATGATGCCTTCTTACACCCCTATTCAAGGCTAAAAGTGCATCTCTCCTTCTTGCTACCATGCGGCACAGCAGTTTAAGAGGCATGTTTCTACCTACCTCTTCATGATTCTTCTTGAGGTAGGCAAGCTCCTCATTCAAGCCTTCGATCTGCAACTCGAGGTCGGACCTAGTCATGGTCAAGTCATCCAGGACTCTCCTCAGGCCATTGATGTCACTCTCCACACTCTGGTGCAGGAACAATTCGTTCTCATACCTTCAAAGATAACGTAAGAATGAGATTTCAGAATTGTGGCAATTTATGGTTTCTTGCTTCCTGATGGCCTTCACAAAGCTGGGAATGAGGCAGGAGCAAGGTGTACAACAGAGGTGCTGGTGTTTCTGTTTCCTTCCTTTCCCTTGCCCAGAATTTGATGCTTACTTAAGTTTGAAATCATCAGCAGCCAGCCGAGCATTGTCGATTTGCAGAACGACCCCAGCATTCTCAATGGTGTGTCTAACAATCTGTAAGGAACACATAGGAAAGATAGCTGCAGTACTTTTTAGGGAAAAACAACAACCAAACATCACCACCATCCCTAGTTCCTCTTCTTGGACACTTTACACCAAGGTCATAGAGTGGAGTGACACGGACATTTCTTTTGAAACCATTTTTAGAAAGGAAGATTGGGAGGAGAAGGAAGAGGAATCACAAAAGGCAACCGGAAGAATACAACAATAATCCTGTGGGATGAGACCAAAGGCTCGTCTAGTTTAGCCTTCTGTTCCTATAGTGGCTATCCAGCTGCCTCTGGAAGCCCCAAAGCAGGCCATGAGAGCAACAACACTCTCCCTACTGATTCCCCAGATACCTGCATACAGAGGCACACAGCCTTTGCAAGTACAGGAAATGACCATAGACCTTTCATGAATATTCGCCATTGATAGCCTTCTTCTCCATGAATTTCTCCAGCCCCTATTTAATACCATCCCCGTTGGCAACACTTGCCACATATTGCGATAGCAGTGTGTTGTACGAAGGAATTCTTTCTCTGTTCCTGAATCCCTCACCATTCAGCTTCCAGGTCCAGGTATTATAAAAGTGATGATGGTGGAGGGGGAAGTCTTCCTAGCCACTTCCAATTCATCATGTGTAATTTGATGCATTCTGCCATGTCCCCCCTTTTTAGGGATGGGGGAAGAAACTGGATTGAGTCCACATTTAAAGGCAAATCCACCAAATCTGCACTTTCCAAGGCAGGGTGCAAACTGAAACACAGCCGTCCTTCAAACTTTGCACTTAATTGAATTTTTCAGTGCGGTTCTACAGTCACGTGATGTGCACGAAAATGCATACAGTAGGGAAAAGCATGACGAAAAATGCACACATTTGTTAAAATCACATAGAAATGCATTATATCAGGGGAAATCGTTTTGTAGGGAAGTGTATATTAGGCAAAATCCGCACAAAGATGCTGATGAATTTTCATGATAATCGGTTACTACTCGCTTAATTTCTTCGCAAATTTAATTACGTGATAGGAGGGGTGTGGACAGTGACGCGTATCCAGAGATTAAGGCTCTGCTGAGAAGGGTATTAAGATCTTGCCAGTAAAGCACATGTAACGTTCAGATGCCTAAGGGGGACAATTCACCAATGAAATATTGCAGACTATGAGGAATATGGCAGACTATACTCCCTCTGAGACTTAATGGGGAGGAGCCGTAGCTCAGTGGGTAGAGCAATCTGCTCTGCATGCAGACAGTCCCAGGTTCGAATCCCAGCATCTCCAGGTAGGGCTGGGAATGTCCTCTGGCTAAAAACCTGGAAAGCTGCTGCCAGCCAGTGTAGACAATGCTGAGTTAGATATATCAATGGTTGGAATCATTATAAGGCAGCTTTCTATTTTCCTATACAGTGGTACCTCAGGTTACAGGCGCTTCAGGTTACAGACTCCGCTAACCCGAGAAATAGTACCTCGGTTTAAGAACTTTGCTTCAGGATGAGAACAGAAATCGTGCTCCAGGCAGCGCAGCAGCAGCAGGAGGCCCCATTAGCTAAAGTGGTACCTCAGGTTAAGGGTAGTCCCTGGAGCCAAAAAATCAAGCAAAAGTCAAATCGCTCTTCACGGAGAAGGGAAACCTGAAAAGAGGAAGTGGCAGCTTTCCTGTATTCTCCAGGCAAGCAGAGGGGAAAGTGTCGTCTCTGTGCTCCGGTACTGCTGGGGGAGAGGGAGAGAGAGTGGGGGAGGGAGAGGGAGAGGGGGGGAGGGAGAGGGAGAGAGAGAGAGAGAGAGAGAGAGAGAGAGAGAGAGATGGCTGGCTTGGGGGGGAACTTTTGCCTCCCACCCGTTAAATCCCTCTCCAGCATTCTTAGCCAGCTGCTTCTCTGCACACCCCTCTCATGTCCCTTCTTTGTTTTTCCTTCGCTCCCCACTTAAAATGTGGTTACAAAGCATAGATCCACATGGATCCTCAGGATCTTTGCATTGGGTCACCCCAAATTCACCATCAGATCACATAGCATGTCCATGGCTACAGCCTGCACCAAAAAAATCACGCACCCACTGTTGCCTGGGGCTGCAATGGTGCAAAAACGTGGTTAAAAAGCATGGATCCACATGGATCCTCAGGATCTTTGCATTGGGTCACCCCAAATTCACCATCAGATCACATGTCTGTGGCCACAGCATGAAGCACAAAAATGATACATCCACTGTTTCATTCAGAATGTTTTTTCCCTTGTTTTCCTCCTCTAAAAACGATGTGCGTGTTATGGTCAGGTGCGTGTTATAGAGCGAAAAATACGGTAAGTTCTTAACCTGAGGTACCACTGTATATGGAACACAGAAAGTTGTTCTTGATGGACGAAGCATTGACCCAAGTCAGAAAACTTTGCATAAGTACCCCGATCACTTACTTGGTTCCGAAGATCTTCGATGATGCTAAAATATTTGCTGTAGTCTCGGCTGGTGTCCGGAGTGCTGTACTTTGCGTACCATTCCTTGATCTTGCGCTCCAGCTCTGTGTTGGCCTCCTCCAGAGCGTGGACTTTGCCCAGATAGTTCGCGAGGCGGTCATTGAGATTCTGCATGGTCTGCTTCTCGTCGCCACTCAGGAGACCCCCATCCCCTCCCCCAAAGCCGCCGCCCATGCCGCCCATGCTGCTCACAAAGCCGCTCGAAAAGCCACCGCCGCCACCGCCAAGGCCACCCCCGAAACCGCCACCCAAGCCCCCTCCGTACCCACCACCCAGACCTGCACCCAAGCCCATTCCATACCCTCCACTCAGGCTTCCTCCTCCATAACCACCTGCTGAGTAACCTCCAGCAAATTTGGAGCCGCCGCTAAACCCTATGCCGCTAGACAGTCTGACAGACCCCCCGCCACCCCCGCCACCAACACTGTATGAGGAGAGCTGTCGGGAAGAGCCACTGTGGACAGAGAGAGCCATGGTGTCTGAGCAAGAGGAAGGTTCTGTCCCGTGAAACAAGCAAGGCAAGCGGATTAGAAAGAGTGCGTTGAGTTGGTGGGCTTTTAAGGCTTATATGCGGTGTTAGCTGTGTGTTTCCGCCCCGTCCTGGCACGGCGCATCCTTTTGCCAAGTCAATGCCTTCATAATTAGATAATTGTTCTGTCTAATTAAAAAAAAATGTTACCAGGTCCAACTCTGCTGAAATGTGTATCCTTGGGTTATTATATTATGCCAGAATCCCAGATGGAATGGAGCCAAAACATGTTTTGCTTTCCTTTTTATCTTTGAAATTGTGATGAGCAAACCCTTTTTCGGCTTTTTCTCTCCACCTCCTCTTTCTCTTTTAAGTTTGGTTATTATATTGTGTTCTCTTCAACATTTCAAGCCCCCAGGCAAAATCTCTCTCAACTGAAAGAGGACGCCAAGCAAAGCGACATGTATAAACGAAACAAGCACTAAACTCTTAAATTTGGGAGGGTTCTTTTGTATACTGTTTTAATCTAGTAGAAAAACGGATCTCAGATAGCTTGTCACGGTTTGGTTCAAAGTTGCCAATTGCTTGATTTATTAATTGCTTCTCGGATTATTGTTTTTTTAAAATTAAAAAACCCCCACTTTGATCTGAGAACTTAATTTGTTATATAGCCTGTCTTTGCAAGTCCCAGGAGCTGATTGGATTTATAAATTCACACTAGCAAGCTCAAGAATTTCTCTTTAATGTGTGATTAAGAAGAGGGCAAGTCAATTCACATATGGATCACAGGGTACTAATAATGATTTAGTAGCACTTCTCTGAGAACACCATTCATATAGAAGAACAAAGCAATCAAATTCCCTCTTTTGCATCTCTTTGGCTTTTAAAACGTTCAATCCCCCAGTAAATGTTATTCTTTTTGGTTCACCCTCTGATCCCAATGCACTTGGAATTGAACCGAACCCTATTGTTATTTTGCAAAACCTTCACTTCAGTGCAGTTTTTCTCCTTCCCCTACTATAATGTGGCAAAACGTATTCTCTTGGGCATTGATAAATAATGATCACATTGCTTAGTGGTTTGGACGGCATTTCCCAGTTGAACAATAATTGAGTGGTTTTCAAGGGTTTGCGGCTATCTGTGGGACTGAGATATTTGTTTGCATTTTGGGGGGCCAGATTTGGAGAGCTAGAAATGGCACTTTCTTATCAGCTGCCCCCTCCATTTGATAATGTGAAAATGGGCTGCACAAGATCTTCGGCAGAAAGTACAACTGAGGGAAAGAAAGATGGCAAACTGAAACACAGTATCCTTTTAAATTCATACTTCTCCGAATTTTGCGATGCGGAACTCCAGCCAAGTAAATTGCATATAGCTGGGCATAGAAATGCATATATATTAGTGAAACCCCCCCCACCACAAATGCATTATATTAGGGGAAATTGCTTTGCACAAATGTGTATATTGGGGGGGGATTCATACAAAGATGCTTAAATTATGATAAGTTGGCACTACAATGCTGACAAATTTTCATGAGGTCTTTTTTTTTAAAAAAAATGCAAACTGATGTAAAAATGTAGAGAACTGAATGTAAGATTCCAAAAAAAAGAAAAAAAGGAAAAAAAGGAAAAGAGAGGAGAAACTGAGAGAAATGGGATGATCCAGTCAAAATCCAGCTCTCCCTGCGCCACTGTCAACCCATAGAGGGGAGTAATTTACAAGTGCCATTGAAAGATATGAAAACTGTGCAATTCTATTTCCCATTATTTGGGAATTTGGGAACAAAGATGCGTATATTTGGATTAGGTAAAGCTAAAGCTAAAGCTACCCCTGCCCGTACGGGAAAAGCAAAATGACTCTGGAAAGTGGAGACTGTCTTAAGATGAGAGCATGGGTGTCAGCGGTTAAGAGTGTGTTCTCGTCATCGGGAAGTGTGTCGGCTTCCCGACTCCACCACAGCAGCGCACGGAATGCCGTTTGGCCTCACGCTATCTGAACGTCCTCAGCTCACTTCACTCACAGGGTGTTTGTGCTGGGGGAGGAGGGAAACGGAGATGTACCCACTTTGGGACTTCCTTCGCGACATAGAGCGGCATATCAATCCACAAAGTTTCATCCATCGCCTCCTTCTTCTTCTTCTTTCTTCTTCTTCTTCTTCTTCTTCTTCTTGTAAAAATGAGAAACAGTGAGAAATTGACAGATTGGCCTATTTCTACCAGAGGGTGAGCAAGTGGCAACATTGGCAAGATGAGTAGAAACCACAGCAATCTAGTGCCTCTTTCACTCTGGCCCGTTCCTCTCCCTCTGCTGCAGGCCGAGGGCCATTGCCCAGGCAACCACAGTGAAAGCAGCTGGCAACATGCATCTTGAAGCCCAAATTGCAGTGTGGCGAGCCTGTGGCTCAAAACGTTTGCCACAAGTGCCCAGGTGGGCTGTGGCACGTTGAACTGCGATATGCGCTTGCAATTAAGACATCTGGTTTGCCGTAAGCGCTGTTCTGTCAAGGGAGCGAACGGATATTTGTGAGCCTGCAAGATAAGATGATTTGCTCTGCTGTGATTTGTGTACACCTCTCGAGTTACGCTGCTGAGGAAGGCTAGCAAGTCAAAACACATCTAGTTATTGAGAAGAGGCTTCTCCCTCCTGCCTTCTTCTGGATAAACATCCTGAAGATGATGAGAGAGCTGTCTGCTGATCAGCGCACCTACATGTGTTTGCAAAACGATAAGCGTGTGTTTGACTCCTTCTGCACCCATAAAGATTTGAGTCGACAGCCTTTAATCTGCTTCAGTCCTAATGACATGTAACAATTGCATCTCGGTGTTTAACAGCTGCTCCTCATTTTAATGATGCCTTAATAGCATGTCGTGAATCTGAATAAAGCTGTTTTCTCCGTTTCTAACAAATTCGCACTGCTCAGTACAAGAAGGGCACCTGCCCGCATTCAGTGTGAATCAGCCCCAGGGCACTTCCGCAGAGATCGTTGATTGCTGGGAAGTGTGTGTGTGTGTGTGGGAGCTCACTGGATTGCAAAAAGCTGCAGTGTGGAAAAGCAATACAGTCGTATCTTGGATCCCGAGCGCCTTGGATGTTTGGCTCCCGGAACACTGCAAACCCAGAAGTGATTGTCCCAGTTTGCAAATGTTATTTGGAACCCGAACGTCCAATGAGGCTTCCATGGCTTCTGATTGGCTGCAGAGCTTCTTGCAGCCAATCGGAAGCCACGCTTTGGTTTCTGAACGTTTTGGAAGTTGAATGGACTTCCGGAATGGATTTCATTCGACTTCCAGCCTACAACTGTACTGGTGCACTGGAAGGGGGCAATGGAGCTCTTGCAGTGAGGCCAGGGCCTGTGCCTCTCTAAATATTCTTCCATCAGGTGCCACGGAGGGTCTGGATTACCCAATAAATGTGCAATGCTGTAAGTAGTGGCATTATGCTTGATGGGCAACGCACACACAACCCTAAGTCCTAGCACAGAGGCTGTTGCAGCAGACCTGCATCCTGCTTAGTGTGACTAGTTTCTCCCAGGGAGAGGGGAAAAACATTTGCATCCCACAAAATCAAGTTTTGAAATACCTTTATATAAGATGAATCAAGTAAAAGGAATAGAAGCTGTAATTAACTTTAGAGAAGAGAACCCTTTTATTGTAAGAGAATTCTAAGGAGAGCAATGAGAATATCTAAACAGATTGCTAATTAAGGAAAGGAAATATTTTTTTGGAAATATTTCTCAGTATGTTGGCACATTAATGTGAAAGATGACACTTATTCTTCTTGTGCTGCAACATTTCCAGAAGCAGGAAAGTGTTTCTGGATAAAATCTTGATGTTTATATAACCGTGCTTTCTTTAACAGACTGAACCTTGGAGGAAGTTACTCGCCCGTGCTCGTCTAATTCCTCAATGATGGTTTTGATCACTCTCGTTTTCTTTGATTCTGAAGGCGGAAAAGACAAAAGAAAGAACAAGTGACTGAAATGCCCTTGCCAAATGTTCTTTGGGACAGAATTTTTAATAGAATGGTATCTACCTGAATGACAAAGCCCCATCATCTGAGCACTTACCTGCATATATACACCATTTAATTTGTATGCTGCCTTTCTGTCGTTGAAAGTTCAAGGCAGTTTACAACTTGAAAAAACTATTTAATTGCAACATCGCAAAAGGAGTCATAAAAAATAAACAAATTCACAAGCAAATCGAACAATTTCCTCACGAATAATAATATGATATAAAATAAAGATATATAAAATAATATCAATAGCAGCAGCAACTGTCTTCAATAAAACTCCTTGAGCAACCCCCCAGCCCAAGAGTCTGTTCAGCAGCCTCAGCTTTTGTAGCTGGAGTCAGTCCGGGCCCCACCCTCCCAGGCCAGGGGGAAGAAGTCCTGCAAGGCAGGGAGCAGCTCTTCCAGGACTCACAACCAAGAGGGCAGAGCACCTTTCTGGTGCAACATTTAGCACTTATTCGGCGTCTTTTCCAACTCGATTTCTTTAGCGATTACAAATGTAAGAGTTACGCAGGCATGCATCTGCCCCCTAATTTGGAGAAGTGAAAATTTTGAAAGACAGGTGAATTTCAATTAACATGTTAGGAAAGAGCAAATCAAGTGGGTTCACGTTAGATCTACGATTGAGCTGTAATAACTATTGAAATATTTAAAATGTATTAAAATGAGAAATCTTCATCCAACCCAGGAGGAGTCTATCAGCACACCTGGAAGCTTTTGTTATTTCCAGACAGTTGCAGGCAGTGGGGGGTGGGGGTGGGGGGATGGCACTTCCCTGACCTTTCATCGCCAGCATCTCTACAGCTTTGAAAGGGTGGGGCAAAGGGATGGGGAGGCCAGTGTGGTGCAAACACACTGGCAGAGCCAATCCAGCCCTTTCTGAAAATAGTGAGTCTCTGTAGGCCATGTAACTTGCACCCCGGAATTCTGTTCAAAGATGAGGTACATAGATAATTGCTTCTAATCCGAGAATTCTTTGCATTGATGAAATGGAAGGGGTAGAAAAAATGTACTGAGTGCGGGATGTTAAATTGGTCTTAGTCCCCAACCTATTAATAACATAGAAAGACACCCCCAAAATGATGCTTACCTTTTTCTTTGGATGCAGAATGCGTGTTCCCACCAGCAGTTCCTCTGCCACTGGAGTCTGTGCCAGACCCAGTGCCTCTTGCAGCAGATTCTGAGCCTCTTAATCCTGCAGCTGTTGCAGACCCCACATTTTTTGATCCCAGATCTTTGCTACCTCCGTGTCCAGATGCACTGCAATAGGCAATAGGTTTGTTTGTGTTACCCTTGCTTATTTATTTTATTCAATTTGTATACCGCTCTGCGTCCAAAGATCACAAGGGCGGTTCACAACATAAAAATACAAAATGAGAACATTAAAAACCCCCAAACAAAAGTAAATAGTAGGTGAATAAAAACTTCTTTTTGGGGGATATACAGCACAAAGGCCTTTAAAAAAGCAACACATTCAGACATTCAGAACAGAAGACCCAGAGTCAAGTTATGGGTCAGACCAGTGGCTCATCGCCACTGGCAATAGTTTATTTTCTAGCACAGATGTCATGTCCTTCCTTCTGTCCATCCCGAATCTTCCACCATTCCGTTTCATTGGCTGACACCCAGGTTCTAGTACGTTTAACTATAATGGGGCTTGATGCCTTGACACACCAGGGGCAAGGGAGCCTGTGGACCTGCCGTTGTTGTTAAGCTGCAGTTCCCAGCATCTCTGAGCACTGTCCGTGCTGGCTGGGGATGATGGGAGTTGAAGTCCAACACTGCCTGGAAGCGGGCTACAGATCCCTCATTCCTTGCTTGCAAAGCAATTCTACTCAATGTGCTTTGCACATTCATGCCAGTTTAAAGAGCGTCTGAAGTGCAGCCGATTTGCCCCACAGGAGATAATTTTACACCTTTTCGGATAGTAAGCTGCTCCTTATTGTCAGTGGTTTATGGCAAACCTGGGTTGCAAAGTCGATCCCTTTCTTGCCTGGTGGTTCTTTTTTTGCTCCCTACCTTACTTCTCCATCGATCAGATGTCGGTAAGTCTCAATCTCATTCTCAAGGCGGATCTTGATATCCAGCAGCTGCCTGTAGTCTGCATTTTGGCATTCCATGTCCTCCCTGATTTGTTGTACTTGGGTCTCCACGTTGCCAATCAACCCTTGCATCTGGGAGATCTGGGCACAGTAGCGGCCTTCTGTCTCCGCCAAGGTGGCTTCCAGCGATTGCCTCTGAGAGGGAAAAGGGTGCCGTGACACAAACGTAACATATAGGCCGTGTTTTAGGCCATCAGCATTTTGGAAGGTTGCTTCCAGACCCCAGAGTGTCCTGGGAGGATGACAACTGCTAAGGAATTCCAGGCTGTTTCAGACACATGCCCACGTCCCTAAGTCATTCTTATCTTGTGTACCTAATGAAATCTATCTGCCAGATGTACCAATTCCACTAAGTTGCAAGAGCAATATTGCATTTGCATGCACGTATCTTTTTTTTTAAAAAAAGAAGCACTTAAGCTCTGCTTGTACGGACCCAGGGATGGTATCGTTTGAGTATCTAGATTTCAGTTACAGTTCCAAAGTGCTATGTTTGGTGTGTTCAAGGGCTTTGAAAAATTTGATCTCTTTCTCTTTGTGCAGCAGATTCCTGTTCCAAAATGCAAACCTATATCTGAAACAACTCGGCTTCAAAAGTGCTTTGTTTTGTGGCACGATGGGCTGCTAAGAGCAAGTTACATGGCTAAGAAAAAGCAAGCCGGGGCTGCCAATCTGGAATGGACTTGCAGTCTGCCTTGGGAGACCTAGACCAGTCCCCCTGCCACAGTTATTTGTCCCCAAGGTGCTCCTTGCAGTAGGGGAAGGGGCAGAGCTCATGCTTCACCCATGGAAAGGATCAGTGTCGATCCCTGCCATTTCTAGGTAGGGCTGGCCGAAACTCTTGTCTGAAAGGGAGCTGTGTAGACAATACTGAGCAAGTTGGACCAATGTTCTGACTCAGTAGAAGGCAGTTTCCTATGTCCCTGTGAGTTTCAGCAATAAAGTGGCGCAGGGCCGCATCTGGCACAGGAACAAGTTTTGAATTGGGACCCTGTGGCTTCTTCAGAATAAAAAAAATGGTCAGGTTTTTGGTGTGTTTTTTTAAAAGTACAAACGATTTAACGTGTAGGATGACCCTTTTGTGAATAACTCAAGCCCAAACCTGCAAATTGCACAAAGCTACCTGTGTGGTTCTTTGTATTTTGGCTGCTGTGCTCAAAAGGCCTTTGTTTCTAACACGTTGCCACCTGTCCTGGCCCCTTGGAAAGGAGGAGGCTCAAAATCAAATCCACTAAATAAATAATCTATAGGAGTTCGTGCTGTGCTGAAATCTTTCCTCCAAACGGATCTCGTGAGTTTTGTTCTTCTGCAAAAGAGGCTCCTGCTTTAATTCCTCATGCACTTGGGAATTTCTTTAGAATTTCAGTCTTGAGCTTACCTTCTCGTTGTGAGGGGCCTGAGAATGGTGTATGCCATTTCCCCCACACAAACATCGTTCAAACATTTCTCTAATGATTTGCAGCCTCCCTGGCTACCCATGCTTCCTGAACTGACAAAGCCCCCTTGGAGGAATTCCTATTAAACTTTAATGGAAGTCTGGGCACCTGGGGAGGCTGCAGGGTGCAGACCACTGGTGAGACAATTTGTAGAATGAAATAAAAGCTATTCACAAGCATCCTTCAGCCACCTCAAAAGTAAGGTAAGGAGATCAAACTCCCTGACTTCATTCACAAGTCTATTGATTTTTGGTTCCAATTTCTTTTCTCATTAACTGACAGAGGATGGAAGAGAAATTTTCAGCACTGCACTTATAGGAATCCCTGTAACCAGTGAGATGGCATTCAGGTCTTGTAATTCTTGGTACAACATGACTAAAATGGAGAGATTGCTAAGATTATTCGCCATTCAGAGAAAGCAAGCTGCTGCAGAATGAGACAAGCCAGTGGTCCACCCAATTGCTTATTGTCATAGCTAGCAGCTTGTAATGAAAAGAGAGGCAAATAAAGAATGACTGTTATTTCCAGGGACTCTTGATAACTTCTAACCAACTTAAGGCCTTTTCACCACTTGTGTATGTAAACAAATTATGAAGAGGGTTCAGGGGTTGTGTGTATCATCTGAACCCTAAACAGCGGTCAATCTTAACTAAAGTTAGTGAAAACAAGCCAGTTTCATGAACTATTCTTTGAAGTTGACTTGTTTTCATTAATAACAATGAAGATTACATAAAGGTCTAGGTTTGAATGAAACAGGAGTGAAAGCTTCAAAGGACACAAGGGTTTTTTTGGGGTGGGGAACTAGGCTCATTCTCATAATGCTTAATGTGACTTAGCTTTGTTCCTGAACCAGCCTTGTAAGAGGGAGGTGTATATTTCAGGGAGATGTTTGTCTTAATCATTCAAACACGATTATGCTATCTGGCAGAGATCTCTTCCCCATACCAAAGCAAGTTGAGATGTCAGGTCTATCTCCAAAGCCTGAAGGGTGCGTTTCAAATCTGTGATCTCATTCTTGTTGGTGCTGGTCTCCTTGGCACTCACGTTGATCATCACGTTCAGTTCCTTACTCTGCAATAATTCAATAACAGTATAGTATTCAAATGACGGAAATGTGGTTGGAGCAATTGATTCTGTTTCCCAGAAACTTAGCGGCTATATTCCATTTGTAAAATGAGAGCTCCGGGTATAACGGGCCCCAGTAACAGAAAGCGTAAGAGTAGGGCACTCTGTACATGTTCAGTGCATCTTATACACCCTCCAAATTCTTCAGGTTTCTTCTGCAGAATTTGGAGTTTTACAGGGAAGGATGAATGCTGCGTTTAAAGGGCAATGGGGGGAATGAGCAGACAGGGAACTGTGGAGAGACATGCACTTGCGAAACCTGCAGAAGTCTCTTGTTCTGTTATGCCTGGAACCACTGTGCAGTGATAATCTGCCGGCTTATTTTAATGTGCATGTTTCAGCTGTTTCACAAACAAGGAAATGAGACGATTGGACTGACAAACGCCATTTCTCTCCCCCCCCTTTTTTTAAAAACAGATTTGCTGGTAGATTGCTGATTTTTAGACACATCCCTGCATTTTCGTTTACCTTTTCGGCGAACCAGGTTTCAGCATCCTTGCGATTTTGCTCTGCCAGAGCCTCATACTCTGCCCTCATCTTGTTCAAGAGGGTAGTTAGGTCAATTCCTGGGGCAGCGTTCATTTCAACATTGACGTTCCCGGAGGTCATGCCTTGCAAACTTTTCATTTCCTACATGAAGAAAGAAAGGGAAGAAGGAAAGAGAAAGGGACAAACAAACAAACAAGCAAAACACCTCAGGACCATAACTCAGTTGGTACATTTGGGAACATAAGAAGAATTGCACTGGATCAGAGTCCCAGCCTGTCCATGGAAAGCCCACAAGCAGAACTTGTGCATTTCCCTTCTCTTGTATCTGCATTTTCCTTCTCTCATATCTACCGTATTTTTTGCTCTATAAGACTCACTTTTCCCCTCCTAAAAAGTAAGGGGAAATGTGTGTGCGTCTTATGGAGCGAATGCAGGCCGCACAGCTATCCCAGAAGCCAGAACAGCCAGAGGGATTTCTGCTTTCACTGCGTAGCGATCTCTCTTGCTGTTCTGGCTTCAGAATATTTTTTTTCTTGTTTTCCTCCTCCAAAAACTAGGTGCGTCTTGTGGTCTGGTGCGTCTTATAGAGCGAAAAATACGGTACTCCCTACCAACCAGTAATCAGAGGCACAATCTCTTGATCCTGGTTGTAATACATATCCACACTGATTAGTCATTTTCTGCATATTCACAGTGGCAACGCGCTGACTTCATTTACATATGCAGCATTTCCGCATCCCTAGAAACATGACTATTCATTGGCCAGCCACTGCCTCTCTGCCTAACCTACTACTCCCCAGGCTTGTTGCGGGGATTAGATGAGGAGGAGGAGAACCATGTACACAACCTTGATTTCCTTGGAAGAAAGAAGGCGGGATATAAATGCAATCAATCAATCAATCCATCAATCAAGATAAGTTTGGGTTCCCGTAAACTTTCCCCATCCCTGGGAGTAAGTGAATAGGCATACAGGCAGACAGTGAAAGGCAGCAGGGAGGAGGCATCACTGCCAGAAAAGCACCAGCTCAGAGGGATAGGAGTAGCGGGGGGCAGGGGGTGGGCTCAAAAGGAATAGGTTGGGGGCTGCCATCCCACCAGATCCTCTGTTGCTTGAGGGGACTGCCTGATTCTGGTTAATGCAGTGGTAAACCTGTAACGCAAGGGTATGGAACCTTTGTCCCAAATTTGAGGAATTTGATCACCCTTCAGAAACCAGTTTTGCTAGCCTTTATTCTTTCTCACACCTCCTGTAAGCTGCTGAGCTTTTGTTCAGTGAAGCACCTCTTGGTATCATTATTGTTATCAGCACTGAACATTCCCTAAATCCAACCATTTTGGATTGCTAACTGATCAAGTTGTACCAGGGGAGCTGCTAAATATGGAGAGGATTTGGGGCACTGGGGCAGGAAACAAATTTGCATAGATCAGCATATGCAAACTGTGTATGCATGGATGCCTCCGGGCAATTTAAGATTAGTGGACTGCTGGGATCTTGCTGTGCTTTGAGGTGTGCCCAGCTGACCTTTAACTTAGCAAAGTTCAAAACGAAACAAGTTCACGAAAAGGAACAGGATGGAACAGGACATGTGGGGCTCAGTGCAAAAGTCCTGGAGCTCAGGAACCCCCTAACAACACCTGGAGTTATGCTGTCAGTTGCTTGAGCAAGATGGCTGCCTTACCTCTTCATGGTTCTTCTTGAGGTAAGCCAGCTCTTCAGTCAGGGTCTCAATCTGCATTTCTAGGTCGCTCCTGGACAGAGTCAGTTCATCAAGGACTTTGCGCAGACCATTGATGTCTGCCTCAACGCTCTGGCGGAGGAACACCTCGTTTTCATACCTTTGAAGAGGAATTATTATTATTTCTTAAAGTGCTTAGCTTGCTCAGGTACTTAACTTTGGCTGTTGCATTGGCTTGGCCAGTTATTTGATTGTCATTGTGTTGAGAAGCCTGAGACTCTGCTTATCAGTCTGTTTGTTTTGGTCATATTTACAAGTAAAATTAGGTATATACAGTCCCCCCTCCCAGCTGGAACCAGTGCTTTTTTTCTTAAAAATGTTTAGGGGTACTCTCATTCTGTCTGAGACTCAGGAAACACCATGACAGGAAATGAGGCCACCATTGGGGGTAGCAACGGAACTGATGATTCACCGTGATAGAGAAGAAACTAATTTTAAAAAATATTTTTAGTTTCTTCTCCCATTAGATTCAAAAAATGTTTAGGGGTATGCGTGCCCCTGCGTCCCCCCAGGAAAAAAGCCGGAACTCTCTGGAGCTCAGTTTTGGCACCTCTCAGGTGGGCGCCATTGCCATGATAAGAGAACAAGGAAGGTTTCATGGTGAGTTCCAGCACCTCTTTTTAAAAAAAGAAAAATAGTACAGATACCCTGATTGGGTTCGAACTTACTTCATTTTGAAGTCATCTGCAGCCAGCCTGGCATTGTCTATCTGCAGGATAATGCTGGCATTTGTGACGCTCGCAGCAATGATCTGCATTGGAGGGGGAGATAGAAAAAGGAAGAGGTGCTGAAGTAAAAAAGCAAATCGTTTATATTATTTACACAAAAAGATTACATCCTTCTTCCCCCCCCCCAGCAAAATCGCTCAAAGCGGCTAGAAAAATTCTAAAACAAACGTAAAGATGAAAAATAAGAGTAAATGCATCATTAAAACACATGAAGGGGCATTGGGCTGAGTTTTACTCAGAGCAGAGCAATCAGAATTAACATGACCAAGGGCACAATCCTAAAACTGAATTTGTTTTATTTATTACATTCACATCTCACCTTTCCTCTAGGAAGCTTAAGCTGGTTAACAGACTTCACCTCCTCCCCATTTGATCTGCACAATAGCCCTGTGAGGTAGGTTAAGTTGAGAGACTTTTGTGTAGCCCAGGGTCACTCAGTGAGCTTCATGGCTGAGTGGGGATTTCAACCCTGGTCACCCAAGTCCTAGTCTAGCATTCTAACCATTACACCACACTGGCTCTCAATCACCTGGCCAGGCTATGTTGGTTTAACTACCTGATCCTGGCTGAGCCATAGATATGGCCTCTGTATCTCCCATATCCCAGTTTGGCCAGGACCCAGCTGCCTGGGCTGAGCCCAGTAGTCCTTCAGCTGGCCTTAACCCTGAACAAGTGACATCCTGGGGTTGAGGTGAGAGTGAGACAGGAGGGGGACTTAGGCTGGATCCTAAGCAGAGTCACGTGACCTGAGAACCTGGCCTACATTAACCTGGCAAACGGGGATATAAATCCAACTCTCTTCTAAGGGCTTGCTTTCAATAGAGTCAAGGAACTGTAGAGTTGGGAGAGACCATGAGGGTAAAATCTTTTTGCTCCGCATGGGGCTTGAACCCACAACCATGAGATTAAGAGTCCTCATGCTCTATCAACTGAGCTGCTTTACCTGCCAAGTTTAGGGCAGCTAAACCAGCACAGGCCACTCCTGAATGGAGCTTGGATCTGGCAGACATTAACACCTGCTCAACGTAAACCAGCTTAATTTACACTGGCTCCCATCCTTGGGTCCATTCAGTCCAATGGGTCTGCTCTGAGTGAAGAGAAGCCATAAAAAGCAAAGGTAGCCTGTTGATCTGTAAGAGAATACCCTCCCCCTTACTAAATCTCACAGCCAGGCAGTAGTAGCTTTAGTAGGACCGACTTGCATAATCACAAAATTATGGCACGCTTGATTGCGATTCAGTTCACATTTAAAGGCGAACCTGCGAATTTGCACTGTCGGAAACAACAAGCGAACTAAAACGCAGACATGCTTTGACAACCCCACTTCATCAAACATACTGGTGTAAAGTGTGCATAAAACTGCATATGTTTAATTTCCCTTGATAGAAAACATACCGCCACCGTTATTTTCACTAGCATATGCATTTTTGCACACACTTTATCCTAGCATATGCATCAATGAATATACATTAAGTAAAATTACAGAAGAATGTGCCCATCAGGTGAAATTCACTGGTGAATTTAAGACTGGGGAAATAAGAAACTGAGAGAAGCCGAAAGAGACAGATTTGCCCAACTCTGTGGCGCTGTGGGTTAAACCACAGAGCCTAGGACTTGCTGATCAGAAGGTCAGCAGTTCGAATCCCCGCGACGGGGTGAGCTCTCGTTGCTCGGTCCCTGTTCCTGCCAACTTAGCAGTTCGAAAGCACGTCAAAGTGCAAGTAAATAAATAGGTACCACTCTGGTGGGAAGGTAAACAGCGTTTCCGTGCGCTGCTCTGGTTCACCAGAAGTGGCTTAGTCATACTGGCCACATGACCCGGAAGCTGTACGCCGGCTCCCTCGGCCAATAAAGCGAGATGAGCGCCGCAACCCCAGAGTCAGTCACGACTGGACCTAATGGTCAGGGGTCCCTTTACCTTTACCTCTCTTCCATCTTTAGCCAGCCTCACTCCTCCAAAATCTACCTTCCCTTCCCTTCCCAAGTCTTGCTCACCTTATTTCGAAGGTCCTGAATAGTGGTGTGGTATTTGCTGTAGTCGCGGAGGCCTCCGTCGGCGTGCAACGCCGATTTCTCATACCAGGTTTTGATTTTGAGCTCCAGGTCACTGTTGGCCTCCTCCAGAGCCCGCACCTTGGATAGGTAGGAGGCCAAGCGGTCGTTCAGGTTCTGCATGGTTTCTTTCTCCCCTCCCGAGAGAAGCCCACCATCGCTGCCACCAGCGCCACAGCTGTAGCTCTGGAAGCAGCCCCCAGCCCCACCTCCCAGGCTGCCCCATCCTGACCCCGTGCCCCAGGCTGCCCCACCACCAAAACTCCCTGCACTGAAGCACCCTCCACCCAAGGCATGCGCTCCGCAGCCAGAAAGCTTTATAGACGGCCCCGCCACAGCGAGAGGAGGAAACCTGCCTAGATCCCCGGCTAAAGTAAGACATGATCTCAAGGAAGTTTTAAGCAAGCTTGCGGGGAGGAAAGCAGAAGATTCACCCAAGGGGAGTTTTCTTGAGCAGTCAGAAGAGCATCAAGGTTTTATATGCCGACTTTGTTAAGGGTGTGTTCCTTCGCTGGAACGTCATTTCATCGCTGCATTGTTTGTTTGGAAGATTTATCATTTCAAGCCTTCATGACTGATGGATATTAATAACTTGGCCCGGTCTTCCATCGCGTTCATTTGCCCCCTGGGCCATTTGTGAGTCTTCTCCCACCCCACTCCCAAGATGGCGAATGGGTGGATGTCATCTGGCCGAAACATTCATCATCACCACCATCTTTTCAGCGAGGCTGAGTAATTCCTCCCATCCCACCGCCGTCTCTCTGTGTGTGTTTTCAAAGCCCATCATTATAAACATATTTCTTTGGGTCCCTACCCACTTTTTTTCCACACTCGCACTTGCAACACTCTTTTGTGGCAGAGGGGTGTGCAAGCCGCTTTTCAAGGATGGTTCCCTCGCGTTGCGATTTCCTCACCCTGGGTGGTGCAGAGAGAGAACTATGCAGTTTGCATTAGCCCTGCGAAATTGTCTCAGCTGTCTCAGCTGTCTACTTTTCTGACGCGGAAGTTTGATATTCTCATTATTTCTTTAAGCACCGCGTTTTAAGGCTAAACTCACAAGGCGCTGCTTTGATTTCCTGAAGCTTTTTGCTCTCAAATTGTCAAGGATCCAGTGAATGAAACATATTTAAAGAATCTGCTTGATCAAACCGGCTTTGGAACACTTGGGAAATGGAAACTAATGGTTTCGTGAGGAAGTGTAGGACGATTGAGGAGATCGCTTTTGCTGAATCAAGTCAGCTTGAAGACTTAGGCGTTCCTAAGTAAAATAAAAGATACGTACATCCAGGATAAGGCAGTATGACAAAACCATTATTCTTGTGTGTACTTGTTGCTGGGAATATCAGGTGGGGAGAACCCTGTGGCACTCAGGTCCTGCTTGTGGATTGTGAGAACAGGACAGAGGAGGTCATCCCAACGTCTTGTATGGTTTAACTATGCTGTGTGTGATGAATTACCTCCTGTCGCCTCTCCTCAGTCCTCAGCTTCTTTGGATCACCTTGGCTTCTAGGCTGCCTCTGAAGCTGGTTCGGAAACTTCAGCTAGTGCAGAATTCAGTAGCCACGTTGCTTACTGGAGCAAGACAGATTAAGCATATTACACCGATCCTGGTCCAACTGCACTGGCTACCAATTAGTTTCCGGGCCCAATTCAAAGTGCTGGTTTTGCCTTATAAAGCCTTAAACAGCTCAGGACTGCAATACTTCACGGACCGCCTCTTTCCATATGAACCTACCTGGACCCTGAGATCATCATCTGAAGCCCTCCTTTGCGTCCCCCCTCCTCAAGAGGTTCAGAGGGTGGCAACACGAGAACAGGGCCTTCTCTGCAGTGGCACCCCATCTGTGGAATGCTCTCTCCAGGGAAGTTGACCTGGCACCTTCATTATACACCTTTAGGCGCCAGGCAAAAACGTTCCTTTTTAACCAGGCCTTTGGTTGACCTGATCAACATCCCATACCCTTTTAAAATGTAGCTCTTTTTTTGGAGGGTATTATTGGGTTATTGCTTTTGTTTTGATTTTATATATTGCAATCTTTTTTGTGAACCGCCCTGAGACCTCTGGGTATAGGGCGGTATATAAATTCAAATAATAATAATAATAATAATAATAATAATAATAATAATACAGGGAGGGAAAAGGTCTCTCCATCCACTTTCTCTGCACACAACACAGTATTCCGAATGTGGCTGCACTAGGCATATTTTAGCAATATTAGTTTCAATTTCCGCTGTATACTTGAAGCTTTTCCATTCTATGTGTGCAGACTTGTGAGATCCAGAACTCACCAACTGGAACCAGGTGCCACATCAGTCCAGAGGGCAGAGAAGGGGCTGAACAGTCGGTGCTCAAATGTCAGGATCAGAATTGCCTCTGAGCTCATGCTCTGTGCAGGAATCTGTTTTCAGTACAAGAACTGAGTCCACAGTGCTTTCTTTCAAAATCCACTCATTCCCCACCCAAGCATTTTTCATTACAACCACCTCACTTAGGGGTACCCTGTTGCTTTTTTTAAAAATTGATATTGCTAAACAACTGGGAGTCAGAAACCCTTGCCATTCTCAGTGTTGGATTCACGTATAAGCTAAACAAGCTATAGCTTAGGGCCCCACTCTCATGGAGCCCCCCCAAAAAAACACACACACCTGGATGTACATTTCCAAAATATAAGATGAAAAACAAATAAAATAAAACCTACACACAGCAACAGTGTTTTGTGTTGTGTAGGCTCCTATGATGTAAGTAATGGGCCCTGCCTGCTAGTCTGCTCCCTAAAATATCACTGGTTTGCTCATTTCTATATATAGGGTGCCTACATTCTGCATGGACTGGTTGCATGGCAACGTGCGCAAATGGCTTTAGGTACCTTTTATCTCCATAAATTACCATATAGCATATATTCAACACAAAAAACAGTGACAATTTGTTGTTGACAAAGGGTAAGGTAAAGGTAAAGGGACCCCTGACCATTAGGTCCAATCGTGACCGACTCTGGGGTTGCGGCGCTCATCTCACTTTACTGGCCAAGGGAGCCGGCGTACAGCTTCCGGGTCATGTGGCCAGCATGACTAAGCCGCTTATGGCGAACCAGAGCAGCGCACGGAAACGCAGTTTACCTTCCCGCCAGAGCGGTACCTATTTATCTACTTGCACTTTGACGTGCTTTCGAACTGCTAGGTTGGCAGGAGCAGGGAACGAGGAACGGGAGCTCACCCTGTCATGGGGATTTGAACCGCCGACCCTCTGATCGGCAAGTCCTAGGCTCTGTGGTTTAGCCCACAGTGCCACCCGCGTCCCTGACAAAGGGTAGCTGGACATATAAAGGGCCCCATTACCTTCAGTAGCTTAGGGCCTCATCAAACCTAAATCTGGTCCTGGCCATTCTACTGCTATCCACCCAAATGCCTTGTACCCAGTAGATCCTGATCTGTCTTCTGTCCATCCCTGAGTGAGAGCAAGCGTAGCCAAATGCCTCAGAGACTTTGACCTCTGAACCCGGAAGCCCCTAATTCAAACTTTTCTTTGGCCATCATCCCGTTAGGTAGTCTTACGGAGCCTGCACTAACGAAGTAAGTCGTTTACTCCCTCTTATCATCAGCTGCACCTATATCTTTGCAAGATGGGGAGAGTAAAAGTCCTGACAAATCTCACCAGGTGTTATAAGGATTACCAAGACAGTGTTTGTGGACATTCTGAAGTGCTGCATAAATACTGTTGTTACAGCGAATTGTAATTCTTGGAGTGATGGGATCAAAACGAATTACGCAACGTCACGGAGGACGGGGCCACCTGAGTGGATCGTAATCTCCGATACTGGATGGGGCATGAGGCAGTGTGCAAGGGAGCTAGATTTTGGGTGGCTTTGTATCTTACTTTACAAAAGAAGAGGCCTTCGTCGGAAGAGGTGTCACAGGAAAATCCTCTGTTCGGAGGCCCCTCTGGTCTGGCCCGAGTCCATTTTAAAGATATAGCATGCAGGGAACTTGGCGTTTGCTGTGAAGAGTTAGCACCCAGAGAGCAGATTGAGCAGGCGGCAAGCGGGCACTGGCAGAGGAAGATGGGCGGGGGGAGCGCACTGCCCCAGCAGCACAATCCCGGTGGGGTGCTGTCGTGGCTGCCCCCCCATCCGCGCTGGGTGCCTGTCCCCCTCAGGTGGCACACCATGGTCCCAGGACGCGCACCACACCTCCAGGATGTGTGCCACGCCCCCAGGACACGTGCCACGCCCCTGTGGGTGATGCACCACACCCCCAGGATGCGCACTAGCCACGCCCACGCCTGCTCTCCACCCCCCGATGCTGGAGCATGAAGATCCGCCACTGCATGCAGGGCACCTGCTCATTGCATGATGATGGGATAATAATAATAATATATTATTTATACTCCACCCATCTGGCTGGGTTTCCCCAGCCACTTTGGGAGGCTTCCAACAGAATATTAAAATACAATACAGTGGTACCTCGGGTTAAGTACTTAATTCGTTCCGGAGGTCCGTTCTTAACCTGAAACTGTTCTTAACCTGAAGCACCACTTTAGCTAATGGGGCCTCCTGCTGCTGCTGCTGCGCCTCCGGAGCACGATTTCTGTTCTCACCCTGAAGCAAAGTTCTTAACCTGAAACACTATTTCTGGGTTAGCGGAGTCTGTAACCTGAAGCATATGTAACCTGAAGCACATGTAACCTGAGGTACCACTGTAGTCTATTAAACATTAAAAGCTTCCCTAAACAGGGCTGCCTTCAGATGTCTTCTAAAAGTCTGGTAGTTGTTCTTCTCTTTGACATCTGGTGGGAGGGCGTTCCACAGGGTGGGTGCTACTACCGAGAAGGCCCTCTGCCTGGTTTCCTGTAACTTGGCTTCTCGTAGTGAGGGAACCTCCAGAAGGCCCTTGGCACTGGACCTCAGTGTCTGGGCAGAACGACGGGGGTGGAGATGCTCCTTCAGGTATACTGGACCGAGATCCATTTCTATCTAAATTATCATGATTTCCCCCCCCCCCCAAATTTGCACCTATGTGCATACACAGCACATTCAAAAGTTATGTGAATTGATGTCCTCTATTGGGGCAACCAGCTGACCTTGTTTGCCTGCTCAGTCTGCAACCTTAGGCCAGCTACACACTCTCAATCTAACCTACCG